AACTGCAATATGAAGCAAATTACAGATTTTCACCAGAAAAAAAAAAAATCATTTTTAACTTTGACAGTATATATTTTTCAGTAACACTTGCTTTGGAAACAATGACAACTCTAAAGTAGTTACAGTTAAACTTCTGAACAAAACTGTGATGATCACAGTTCTTAGGAATAATAATAGCTGCCCATGAACTAGATTAGCAGGGAAAGATGCCTTAGTGAACCCCATAGTGCAGCTTGCCTATCTTCTCTTCTACATTTTTACAATATTTTCAGGAGCTGAAATTATGAATGTTACCAAGCAGTTGATATATCTTATTGTTAAAAAATACACATTTGCAATACTATTGTCCAGTGAGTCTCATGAAATAAGATTTTCTGTTTTGTCTTCTTCTAAGATCTACAAATAGGATCCAACTACAAATTAACACTTCTCATCAGTACAAATAATGTGATCAAGACAGAAGTATAACAAGTGTGAAATAGTAAAGGATTTCTAAATTTCTATAAAAGTAAAGGATTTCTAAAAGCCAATACCCAAAACTTTAAAAAGCTTTTTAATTACATTTCAATAGATTTGTCATATTCACTTGAAATAAACCTAGGACCCTAATGCTAGTTATCAGGCTCAGGTTGTAAAACCCCTTTTGATCATCAATGTTATACTCACTGTCACACTATTAAAACAGACTTTCTTTTTGTAAAAAAGAGAATGGTGAGATGTCAATGCCTAGGATTCTGTCCTTATGGAGAGAGAACTCAAAGACTAAACTGACTGTTATGAAGCTTTCCAGTGGAAAAGGGAGTATTTTCCCAGTAAAACTTAATTTAAAACAGTAATGGGTAGACATATTTTTGGCCAGGCACTAGCCTGAAAACAGAGAGTGAGGGTTGAACAAAATCAAACGTATTTATATTAATTTAGTCTAGAGGGAAAGGAATGCTTCCCTGTTCAGCAATTTCTCAATTCCCCTGCCAATTCTAACATCCCCTGATGTTTTCACATTGCTTATGGTGCTTTTCATTTGTGTCACCCAAAAACCATGCACAGGATCAAGTAGGTAAGTGACTGGAATTTAGTGGGATGCTAAAGAAGGTGAAAAGAGCAATGCAACAGCAAAGGCAGGACAGTGCAACTGGAATTACAAACAAAAAAGCAGGAATTATTCCATTCCTACCAAAACTACAACCAGGCTCCTCATGTTGGTCTCACAGACCTCACGAGAGCATACACCCCTACCCAGCATCAATCTTAGAGCAATTTAGAAGCTTCTTGTCACCAGAAATCTTCCTTAGCTGTTCTCAGACTGAAATGCGCCTTGCCTTCCATGATTTGCCTTTTCAGCAACATCATCAGACCTCTCCCTGCTTGTTTTCATCTAAGACCTACAGAAGATATGGATGCCACCAAAAAATTCTCATTAGAATATTGATTGTCTCCTTTCTTCAGTAGAAATCCTCATTGTCTCCTTTCTTCAATAGAAATCTGTTCACGTGACCCTTTCAAGGAACACTAGAAATGTGAAGTTCAATACAGGGAACAATATGAGAGGTGCACAGGGCCAGAGATAACTTCTGGTAGGTCTCAGTCAAAAGAGGTGGACTAGAACCAAAATCTCCCTGATTTAGTTCTCCTCTTGCCATGCACAGAAACCTTTTTAAAAGGTTTTAGAAAAAAAAAAATAAAACCTAAATATACAGCAATTGTGAAAGCATGTGTTCAGTAATTTGGGGATAATTCATAATTACAACATTTAAAAAATAAAAAGAAACCTCATGGCATCCACTAACAACAAAATTAGGCATTTTTACCTATTATCTATGATTAACATTTATACTGAATTTTAAAATGCCTTATAGCAGCATAAAGAAAATTAATATTTTAAAAGTGGGTTTGCCAATTACCACAAAATTAATCACAATTCTAGTCTGTGAGCTGAAAACATCATCACTAAAGGGAGAACAAAGCTCAAAGAATGTGTTTACTTGCTTGTAACCTGAGGTCTGAAATGCCATATCTATTCCTACTCACAAGAAGCACTTGCCAGACTCAGTTCTGAAAGTGCAATTTTAAATAGATATGTTCACTTACACTTTCTCACATCTGCTCTTGTGTGCTGTACAACTCACAAATGTTTTTTGTAAGTGCAGCTATAAAATCTGGAAGCAGTTTATGCCCATCTTACCCCCCACTAGCATTGTACAGTACAGCATATTTTTTGGAATTACACACTGTGATCATCACTGTTTATCTGCACAGCAGCCCTGCTAGAGCAGAATTGCACCCAGGAGCTCATGTGTGATGAAAATCCCAAGGAAGACAGTGTTTCATATGGAAGCACAGAGTCCATCACAAGAATCTCCAGCTTTGGTAACCTTTTCTCCCTATAGTGGCTTCTACATTCCCACTCTTAGGATGTTTTACCTTTGGTATTGATACAAAAGACAAAAGCAATTAAAGTGCTGTTCTGCCAAATGAAGACTTAGACTCAGCCACCAGGCTGTAAAAATATGAATGTAATCCTACGTGGCCACTTTATGCACTTTATTCTTGACTGGAATGAGTCTGAGCAAGCTGTGTAAAATAAGTCCTCACCACTTAAAAAGGTCACAGGCAGCTAAGAACATGTAATTTTCTAGAACACAGGAGCTAACCCACCTGAATAATGGTTTGGAATGGGCAGTTTTACCTCGTCCCTTCACACAAAATAACAGGAAAGCCAGAATTTCTCTCTTATGAAAATGAACTAGGGCTCTAAGATGCAAATACAGATCTTCCCTATTTCTGCAGCACCTGAAGTACAGAGGTATGATCATCAGTAATGAGATCCTCTGATTATTTACATGAAAGATTTAAGATGAGAACATTGTACAACTTCATCTCTGTGAATTACTCCAAATAATCTTCATGAGCTTTTCTCATCAGTTTCAACAGCCTTCAGTAACACTGAAAAATGAAATTAAAATGCAAAAGAGGGTCTGTAGCCTTAATGAAGAGATTAAATGCTAAAACCATGTAGGAACATTTAAATGTGTCTTGCAAACAAATTTGTCATTAATCAAAGAACAGAATGTCTATTTTATTATCAGATAGACTTAAAAGGGAGGATTGACATTCTTAGTGTTGGTTTATGATGATCTGAATGTTACAGTAGGTGAAATATTATTACTCTTTAGCCAACTGTAGAGCATCTTTCATCTCAAAGTGTAAAATTTTCCATGAGATTTTAATTAGTATAATCTTGACTTCCATGAAGTAAGCGTTTCTGAAAAATACCCATATTACAGTCATGGACAACACTGCAAACACAAACTTATAACAGAGACCCTGAAGGAATTTCAGCAGCATCCAATGCAGTGCTTGCAACCAACATCCACCACGCACCTGCACCAGGTGCTGCACATAAAGGGGCCTTTTTCATGGTCCATCAGCAAAAACTTCAGGGCAGCATACAGAATTGAGTCTTAAGTGGTTTGGGTGGCCAATGTTTACAAATTTAGTGTTTCTGTTTGGCTTTTGAAAGTGTGAATCACCTTGTATTTAAGAACACTTGAAATTTAATTTTATTGTGGCTCTGGAAAACATTGTAGCAGTGTTTGCCTTAACAATACACTAGTGTATAACTATTACACATACTAGTTTATTTCTTTTTATTTTCAGCACAAAAAGCATAAAATAGAACGTACACAAAAGTTGCTTGCTTTACAGTGCAGGAAAAGCAATAAAAAATATTTTCTCTTTCCATACCAAACCCAAAATATTCTGAAGTTCTACAGCCTAATCCCCAGAAAGGTTTTGTTTCTAACAGTATGAAACAACTAATGAACCTCTATTGTCATCCACTTGATCAGTGGCTGCATTTTTTAATCAGGTGAGAAAAAAACACATTTTTTTTCAAAACAGATTTGGATATCATGATGGCCGTCTGAAACAATAATATAAGCAATACACAAAACTTTCACATACAGAGTTTTGTATACTTTTTGTGCTGAAAATGAAAACAAACAAACTAGTATATATAATAGTTATACACTGGTGTGTTGTTAAGGTGAACACTAATGTCAGCCTGGAATGACAAAGCTTCCTGAAGGCTAATTTGGAGTATAAAATTCTGTCTTTCCCTGGAGTCAGCAAACATTTCAGATATGGAACTGCTACTGATCCTTTCAGTATCAGAACAATGGCCTCCACTTTACCAGAATTCCAGTTATCAACAACAGACCCCCCTGAGATTAGCTCTCTTAACAGCAAAATGGGAGTCACAAAGGGTATGTAATCATCCTGAATACTCTTCCTACACCTTTTTTTGTTTTTTAAGTCTCCTTGTTTTGTCTAATAGTAGACAAAACAAGAAGAAACGGTAATTTGGAATAAAATTTAAATTACAGTCTTGCTGGCAGAATGTTAGATTTGTGACCTACCACTACCAGTTTTTTATGTCAGTTTTTAATGTTACTTGTATTGAGAGGTTTGCTGGAGTGAAGTTTGTAATAAAACAGTCTTATTCGGTTAAAAAGTATATAATCCAGGTTTTTGACTGATTATTGGACTACGTCTCTATAAAAATAGATGGCACCAAAATAACAACATTTGCAAGCCAGCCTTCTACAAAAAGGAACCAGACTAAAGATGCAGACTGTTTCCATTCTTTTGCAGCTGAAGGTCAGAAATTGAAGTTGCTAAAATGTCAAGCCTCCTTTTCATTTCAGTGCCACTGAAACATTTGGAAACAATGGAGAGACAAGAAGAAAAGTGAGAAAGCCCTAACAGACAACACTTCCAGCAGAAGTATAATTCCAGCTGCACTCAATTAAAGAGGAATATGAAACGCCTCTGCAGACGAGAGCAGAATGTATATTTTTTTAATCTGAAATTTTGTAAATTATATAATACACCTTTAAATTTTAATATGCAAATATTACTGTGTAAAAGTACCATAGGCAGATGGGTTTGGGTGTAGGGGTTTTTGATACAGTTAGGAACCAACACCAGCATGTTCTTACCTTTTTATCTTCTTTAGATTTCCTGATACTGTGCGGAGGGCCAAATTTGTTCTGAATGCAGAACATCTTCTTGGACCATTCACTTTTGTGAGATTTTAGCTGTGGCTGACCGAAGCTGCCCTCGACTCTGTATCTGTCAGCTGGAATCTTACTCATTGGGGGGGGAAGGGTCCCACAGTTCACACTGGACCAGCCATCTGTGGAGTCGGTGTACGACTCCTGGTCGCTGGCATTCCCATGCTGCCATTCCTGTAAAACGTGCACAGGCAGCCACCTCTGATTGCCCAGGCCTGCAGCGTTTTTCTTGGATGGGGGTACTGAATTTCGGGAGGAAACCAATGGAACTTCAATACGAGCAGAAGGGCTCAAGTGTTTGCTTACATTTTGGGACTTCTCATTCTGAATTACTTCTAAAGGGATGCTCCCCTCCTGCTCATGACAGAAGCCATTCCAATGGGAAGCAGGCTGATTTTGTCCCCTTCCTACTGGATTTTCCCATATGCTGCTAGGAATGTGTTTACTTGGATTGGTCCCTAAATCAACCACCAGAACTCTATTATTCTTTTCTTCTTGGTTGAAATTTCCAATCCCGCTATCACTGTTACTGCTCGTACTATTATTCTGATGGGCATCTGCATCGCCATCGAGGAAAGCCCTCGCACGCATTCCCTCTATCAGCTCCCCCATATCCCTGTACAGGACAGAAATAAACTGCAGGACAGGTAAAGATGATGTTGGAAACTCCAGACAGCCATTTGTATCTGGATCCGCTGTACATTCCAGTCCAAAACGTCTTGCTATACCCTGGTGAATTTTATGATGAAATAATTCAGGATCCACCATAAAAACATGGCAAGATGTCCTCAGGACCCCTTCATCTTCATGAGCCAAGCTTGCATCATCATTTGTCTGCATTGTAACTAGTCCAAAAAATCTTCTATCATCTGGGCAAACAGCACTGAATGCCAGTTTCTCTGCAGGGTATTCTGCCACAACACCTGATTTGTCACTGCAGAGCTGAATACAGTCATGCATTATCTTCATCATCACCAGGGAATGGATTTTTTGCTCTGCCCGCAGGCGTCTCATGCACCCACGAATGGCCTGCAAACTCTCTGTTTCCAAATTTGCAGTTGTTGAAGGAAGTTCAATGGAGCCTAAGTAACCTACAATCATGGCAACATTCAAAATACTTGCATCTAACCCAAAGTCTTCCGCACTCTCCAGTCCAATTCTAAAAACTGAATCATCATTCAGAACTTTGGCTATTTCTTCCTTTGACAGTAGGTTTGGATTGCTTGCACTTTCATTGCCAGTTTCAAATTTCATAGCAGCAGAAACTGAAAATGATCTTTGTTTTGATGCAGAATTATCTGAGTTACCAGCACAAAGAGCAGGATTCTCAAAGATCATGTTGAAAATGCCACCAGACTGCATTTCTTCGACAACTTTCTCTGCTCTGTTTATACCCAGAGCTTTAGAGTCAGGTTTGGGTTTCAGCCACCCCTTACCATCATAAAAACCAACTTCTTCATCACTTGAACATGAATCCATATGACTAATCCCTTCAGCAATGACCATGTGCAGAACTCCAGAACATTTCCCTATAAGTTTCACTACATCTTCATGTGAGGCTTTTTTCACATTGATTTCATTCACTGCAAATATCTGATCTCCTGCTTTAAGACCAACATAATCTGCAGGGCTTCCTTTCATCACACAGCTAAGAACACAAGGAGCTTGTCCAGAAAGGGTAAAGCCATAACCTGCTCTTCCTCGAGCAACTTCCACACTTCTTATCCGTGGAGGAGCGTGCATGTTGAGCCGACGTTTGACCGTTTCTCCTGGTCTGTACATTTTGGATTATTTTTTTTTTTCCTAAAATAGGAAAACTTTTATTTAGTCCAGTTTTTTCTCATGTTTCAAGAGTATCACTCCGTCTGATGAAGATCTAAAAAAAGAAAGAAAGAAAGGACATTTTAATTCTTATCATATTTCAGGTTTTTTAGCACCAAGTATTCCTTTTACTGTTGAGAAAAAAATCACTAGTGAACTCTACAAAAACTATTGCCAGAGATTTAACTAAACACTCAGAACAGTTTGAAAAGAACAGGTACCACAGTGTTAATTTTAGTGATAAGAAAGGAGTTGCAAATGTAAATAAAGTGGCTGTCCAAGATACAACACGACAGAATGGCAAAGAACAAGATCCAAGTTTTTTGATGTTCAGTCAGTGTTTTTTAAACTAAGCATGTTATGTCTTCCCCAATACCCCCACATTGCCTACTATTCAGTTACCTTCTGGCCTACTGCACTATTATACTACCACTACATTTTACATTTCCTTATTTAAGCTCATACATCCTTTCCCAAAACAAAAATGAGAGCTCATGTTCATCTACTCAGCTACACCTCACCCCCTTTACACAGCGTACAGAAACAGGTACCACATGTATCATGTAAAAGAGATTAATTACCCCTAGAGTAGCCTGTATCTCTCCACAGACTCTAAAGGCAGCTTAAAATAAGTATCTCAGACTTCAACTTCCTTACATACATTTATCTTACATATGCAATGACAAGTGGGCATTCAGTCATGCATCAGACCAAAGGGATCCAAGATCAGATTTACCGTTACACCCATCAATTAATCCACTCAAAACAATTTGTCAGATAGCAAACACTGTAAAAATGCATTTCAGACCATCATTCCAACATCCATGTGTTTTAGTTTAGCTCAAACATTCAAAAAAAGGGAAAAAAAAAAAGGAAAAAAAAAAAAGGAGTGAAAAAGACACATGCTGCCAGCATTAATCTAGACATGACTTTACAATTAACATATAACAGCTTTGTATGAACAGCAAGAAGTAGAATATTTCACTACATTTTGGTGTCAGCACTGAAGTCTGGATGTCTTGTTCTAAATATACTCGGGCAAATTCCATTGCTTTAGAGAGGTTTTCCCCACTAAGCAGGTTAAAATGCATGAAAATTACTAATACAAATAAAATAAATGACAACTTGTTCAACTTTTGAAACTCCCCCCTTGTTGCACTATATGAACCCTCACTTCCATAGGTCTGGAGAATGACAGAAAAACCCATGGGACTACAGCTGTATAAAATTGCAATAAACACCATCTGAGCAAGTGAGAACTAATCTGACAATAATTACTCTGAGTTGGTCCACAGGCCTATTCTTAACTCAGACACATTGTAACATATTTAAAGTGTACAGGTACTTGAAAGCAAGTATCTTGCATATGTGGGCAAAATGCAGGCAACATTTCAGATAAATGCATTCACATAAAGACATAAATATACATACACACAGAGACAACACATTTCTTTATCATATCTAAAGTGCTAAATTAGTGGTGTCCCACTCACTACTTGCATGGACAAAAAATGACCAAGAAATCCTACTGACATTGCTCTCAGCTACAGAAACAATAAACCCACACTCAGAATGTGATTAAATTCACAGCACGCTACTTTCACAGTATTTCTGCCTGGGTTAGAACAAACAAGGCAATTACTTCAGAAGTTTTACCAATTAAAAACCAAACCAAAACTAAAATATAGTTCAGAATTATAGCCTTAATTACTTATCTACATATGAGCTCCTTGATTACCAAATTTAAGAAACCACTGCTGTTTCTCAAATATTCTGCTAGATACTCAACTGAAGGATGTAATTCCCACTGGATCCTTCTAAACCCAAAACAGGACAGATTTCAAGATACCAGAAGAAATCCAGTTGGCCTTACTTTGGGGGTTTAGTTTTTTGGTGTTTTGTTTTGGTTTTTTTTTAACAAAGGGACATCAGGTTTTTATGTCTCCATGGTGCAGCTGTAAGTATTTAGTGTAGAATGATTTTTGCAAATTGTTTTACTGTAGCAATTATCCAGCTTCTTAAATGATACTTTTCCTATAATTTGAGACAAAAAAAAACACCTACACCTTGGCTTTAAGAAGTAATAAAACCTCACACTTAACCTTTAAACAGAAATCATAACATAAGGAGTGCTTTGCAAACATTTAACCAAACTTAACTCTTACATTGCCATAAGAAAGCCCCATCAACTGGCATCCTGTCTCATATCTTAAACGTTGTTTGACCCTTTTCTGATGGGGCTAAACTTGGGAATCAAGAGGTCACTGTGCATTCAGCTACCTCTAATTAGGTCTAGTACTTTTTGAGAATAATCATTAAATATTTCAACATATAGTTCCCAAAAAAAAAAAAAAAATAGAACTAACAAATGCCTAACAGTAAATAAAAACCTTCTATCTAGAAGCATGAATATATTCATGTTCTAATTTGCCTTCTAGTGAATATTTCTGTTTTCAGCTGTCTGGAGAATAGCCTAATGTGACCCCTGGGTACCCTCTGAATCTGTGCTGTTAACCTGGTTACCATAAAGCCCAATAGTATCTGGCACCTAAAACTGGACTACTAGCTTGCAAGAGGAAAGGAAACAAGAGAGTATGAGATTATAAACAATCTCCTTTTAAAAATATAATAAAAAGCAGTTGCTACTAAAAAACTTAAGATTCCGTATTGTAATGTTGAAGTGGCTGATAAGAAAAACAGGTTTTTTACAGCTATCTCTGTAATCTATAAAAAATATCCTAAATGCCACTATAAAAAACACACAATGAAAATGTAGTTAGGCTGCTCTTGGGAAGAGGCAAACCCCAATGCTGTCCTACATCACAATTCTGCATTTGCTAAGAGAGGTTTTCCTTTTAACTCTCTTCACAAGTCAATTTACCCACTTTCCTTCCTAACCTATGACCCTTACACATCAAGCATTTATTGTAGATGATAGCCACTGACAATGAAATGTCATTCAAAAACCTGACAATTATAAAAACAAAACAGCAGGCTGCTAACATGTTACTTTCCTCTAATAACGATGTTCCAGAGGTATGAAGACTTTCAGCTATTAATATATTTGTGAAATTTTGTAGGTGTAAAGTTAGGAACTAATTCAGCATTAAAGGGTTTTTGCTATTAATGTGTCTATACTCTAAAAAACCCCAAAAAAAAATACCAACCAAAGAAAAACTGTATTACTTCACTAGATACCTCTTCCCTCCCTCAGTACCTGAATATTACTGTGCAATCTTTATGCTAATTACACCCAGGGCAACCAGCTCATTAAATGTATCTAGGAAACTTCAAGACAAAGGACCAATATATCTCTTCTGCAAGAACTCTCAGCATCCATGTTTTACTGCAATAAAGGCATGACAGGCAAATAGAAAAATTATGAAAATAGTGTTTCCCCTAAGCAGAGATTAGTTGATTGTCAAACTGTTAACAGACTAGTTCAAAACTAAATTATCAATTTCTCTAATTGCTAGCTTTTCTCCTAATTTCTTTGCAGACTTGAAACGTGGAGCTGAAGAGATAAGGGACAGAAGTGGAAAAAACTTTCACAGTTCCAAAGCAATCATGTCTGAATATTCCTTTCCTGTAATAAATTATAAAACATATAACATATACAGTGAAACAAAAACACCAATTCACTTGCACTGATATAAAGCTTTGTAGCTTTATAACTACAAAATATTTCACAGAACATTTCAGGCATAAACACTTAATATGTACACATTAAGAGTTGTTCAAGTATGTGAAATAACATAATTTGTCTATACATATCAGCTTTGACACAGAACTGCAAAATTAAACAAAACATTCAAGACTTCTGCCAGTATACAGTCTGGTCTACCATTTGAATCAATTATTTGTGGGGTATAAAACACCAAAAATACCAGTTACAGTTGAATTGTACTGTATCCCACAAACACTGCATTTCTGTATGGAATGCTGCTACATATCCATGCTAGCTTTTCAAGTCATTTTCAAATGCTCCAAAGAAAATAACATGTATTTGCTTACTTTCAAGGGAGAGAGGTGGTTTGTTTCCTGCTTCTGCTCTTATTATGCCATAGCAACAAAGAGAACAGAAACAGGAGGCACACTCCTGCTGCAGCCCATGTTAAACTGTAACTGAGCAGTCACAGAGGGCAGCAGGGGAGCCCCTGAAGATCAGGAGTACATGACTGACCACCACTACTTCCCAAAAAGCCTCTGGAAATAAGCTGGTGCTCAGTACTACAGGATCCATGTTAATGTGCAGAGACACTGTCTGGCTTCATTGTCTGGCTTTATTCTGTTTTTCTGTAGTGAGACTGTAAGAGAATAAAGTATGCAAAGTGGAAGTGCACAGAGGAGAGAGACTGTTCCCTCATCTCTCACACAGGTCTTGAAGTAATGCAAAAGACTCTTCAGCATGGGTGCCAGTTGTTGAGGCAGAACTGATGCCAAGTCCCTACAAAGCTCAAATGAAGCTGTCACATTTGAATTCCACTAACTATTCAAATGTGGTACATGTTTATAGACAAGTTACACAAGAAATGTAACAGCACAACCTGTAGAAGGCAGCTACCAGTTGTTTGAGAACTTGGGCAGGACAATGTTTTGATAAAAAAAATCTCATTTCACAATTGCATTTCACAATTGGCAAGACAGACCATTATGTTTCCTTTAGGTGTACCTAGTGTGATCATTCAAAAAATACTGACTGTAGTTAGTAACAGCAGGCTAAAAAGTTAATAAAAACTCTTCTTCTGCTGAAGACAGTGTACAAAGTGTAAGGAACACAAACAGGATATTTGCTGATTTGTCTGACAAGACTCATGTGAGCAAGGACAGAGTTTCCTAAAGCTATTGTACAGACAGTCATGCGCCTACAATTCAGACTAATTTATTTGCTGTACTTAAGAAGGTGGAAAAGTTTTGTTCGCAGTTAGGCATTTATCCCCCCGTTCTTTTCTTCCAAATTCGTTCCAGAACTGCTGGGACGCCGTGCAGAGGGGCGGCACTTGGGGTGGCAGCAGCGACACCCGGGCGGGACGGGCTCGGGGACAGCCGGGAGGGCTCGGGGAGCTCTGCGGAGCAGGGGGGCCCGGCGGGCTCGCAGCAGCTCCGCACACCCGCTCGCACGGGCCCGCCGCCGCTGCCCCGCTCCCGGGGAGGCTCCGGCGCTGCCCTCAGCGGGTGCGGGGCCATCCCGCGGGGAGCGGCGGGCCCGGTGCTGGAGCAGCGCCCGCGGGGTTACCCATTAACTGCCCGGCTCCCGGGGCAGCGCTTCCCGGGGGGTGGAGCTGCGGGGAGGGGAGAAGCGGCACCTGAGCCCGCAGGAACGATTTGAAAAATCAAGCGGTAAAAAACGGGAGGGCACGGAGCGCCCGCGACCCCCCCGCGGGCGGACCCGCCGTCCCCTCCCGCGGCGCGCCTGGGGGTCGCGGGCAGCGCCGCAGCCCGAGGGGCGCGCACAGGGGCGGCCGGGGCTCCCGTCTGCCCCCTGCCTCCCCTCGGCCCCCGCCGCCGTGCTCCCCTCCCCCCTCGTCCCCCCTCCCGCCGTCCATCTGCCGTCCCCGCTCCTCCCGCCGCATCCCACCGGGGTCCCGGGCCGGGCGCTCGGCGGTGAGGGGGATGGGAGAGACGGGCAGGCTGCGGTGGGCGCTGCCCCGCTCGGACCCACTCACCTCTGTCCCCCGGGACTCCGGCTACTCCGCCGAGGCAGCGGCTGTCCCGGTCACCGGGGAGACGGCGCCGGGCTCGGCCGCACGGCGCTGCGACGACTGGCTGCCCGGCGCTGTCAGTCACCGCGCTCGCCCGGCGGGGTGGCGGTCGGGTTCCTGGACAGAGAAAGGGGAGAGACAATACCCCGCGCCAGAGGACTACAGCTCCCGGCGTGCTCTGCGAGCGGCCCGCTCGCTCCGGCCGTGGGGAGCTAACCGCGCGGGGCATGACGGGGCGCGTAGTTCACTGGTCTCTCCGAGCCGCCTCGCCTCGCCCTGGGCTCCGGCGGGGCGGGCAGTGCGCAGGCGCGGGCTGGCGGCGGCCGTTCGAACGGGGCCGGGAGCGGGAGCCGGGCTCGGCCTCGCACCGCGGGCACGGCGGGTCCGGGACACAGAGCTGAGCCCGGGAGGGACTGACAGCCCGCGGCTCGGAGCGCAGGTGGGACAGGGAGGCGCTGGGAGCCGCCTCAGACAGGTGTGCCGCGCCTTTGAAGCGAGACAGAGCGCGCAAGGTGAAGGTGCGGGCGGGGGGAGCAGCGGGCGCTGCCTTCACCCGGGCAGCCTGAGGCGGCAGGGAGGCACTGCGGGTAATTAACACTAAGGGCAAAGTGTGTGTGCAGGGGGAGTTCTGCTGCCAGGGTGGAGCTGGGCACGGGCAGCAAGTGCCCAAAATACTCCGGGGACACCTCTTCACTTCAAAAGGTCGCCCTTATTTTAAATAGGAGAGATAGGAAGAGGGGGGAAAAAAGTTAACATGAGTTAAGAAATTCGTAAGGAATATAAGAGTCAGAAAAAGGGAAGAATTAACCAAATCTCTTTGACTTTTCTACAGAACCTGAAAGGATTTTGTGTTCTTAGGAGAAGAATGAAATCTGTAATCGTTAACGTGTACTTACAGAAATCCTTTGCATGTGGGGTATTTAATTTTATTTCTCTATGCACAGGAAACCTGGCACTGAACTTACCAGGCACAAATTGAAGGAGAATTCTTACCTTCTTCTGGGGTTTTGTTCCCAGTCTCCAGAGCAGGATATCTATCCCACAACTCACCGTTGCTGTCATCTGTGTAAGATAATACCTAAATTGTAATACTGTGGCTTAATGGTTTAACTTTAGTAATTTGTCTAATTCTTATCCAGTCTACAAAATCTTAATAATTCCATCCTGAGCTGAAATGCTTACAGGATACCAGAGTCTTCAGGAAAAACAAAAACACAGGGCAAAGGAAAAAGCTTTTTGGAAAAACAGAGGATCCTGCTCTTCTACTCTGGCCTTCACCTTCTCATTCTGCTGGTTTTTTTCTTTGTCAAACAATCCCAAGGAGGTTTCTACCAATCTGAGACATTTCAGATCGACCTAGATCCCGGTTTTGCTATCTCTCTTATCCAGTTTTATGGGAAAAGCTTCTGAAAAGAAAAGATAACTGAATAAAATAAGTATTATGTCTTTTTCTCATCCTCACAGAAGACATCATGGCAGATCAGTGTAACAGATTTCTGAACTTCGTAAGATGTATTGTGTCTCATTAAAGTAATTATTAAGTCCTTAGGGAGCCTAAAAATTCAAAACACAATGAAGAAAGTTCAGTGGTTGATTTTAAACCTCACAGCTGATTCTTTCAGGCAAGGTACAGTAATTTTAAAAAAATACTCCAGTGATTTAAGTTTGCCCAAAGAAGCTATAATTCTTTATCCTTTTGGCTAGGAAGATGTCACAGGTAAAGAATTGCCTTCCACAAATCCAAGGTGTTGGTTTGGTTGCCATCCCTTAAGAGCCCAATTATTTCCAGCTGCCACAGGGGGTTGTCAAGACTTTATATCTTTTGCCACTGCTTCTCTTGCTGTGTTACCCCAACAGATCTAGGACTTGCACAATCTCCTTGCCTACTGAATGGAAAATTGATCAGTGTATTTCAGTCGGACCTTGTAAATGGCTGTAACTGAAGAAAATCTCTTGGAAAGTGACAAGTGGAATTGTAAGTATCCCACAGAGGTAACTGCAGGTCTCCCACTGCATCTTTATGGAGTTAATACACAGGAATTATGTTTTATTTTGTTTCGAAGAGGAGGAATGCTAAAAAGTGCCATCAGCTGCTAACTACAAACCAATTACTCCATGGCAGTGTCAGATTACCCCTTCCAAATATACTGAGTCTGTTATATTTGTGATAATCAACAGAATTGCTTGCACTTTCTAATAGCACAGGAGCATGTCATTAGTCTGGCTTCACAGAAGATATTTTGTACTACAGCAGAATTTCCTACTTCAGTCATATTCAGGAAGGAAGAAGTGAGAACTGAGGACTGACATGCCCACAGGTGTGCTCACGTGCCCTACTTGAGTCAGAAAATCCAACTCATCCAGACTGAATTTAGTGCTTTTCTTCAGTGCTTTTGGAAATGGTGATTAAGACTTCATGTTATAATCTGGAACAAGGTGATTAATGGCTCCTCAAAAATCCTCACAAGGTCTCAGCTGTAACTTACTGTTTTCACCACTGTTGGAGACAATAAAGGAAGAAAGAGTGTGAAACAAAGTGATAAGGATTTGTGGCTTTGGGGCTGGAAAAGCTTTGGCTTATGAGGCTAAGTAGCTTAATGTTGGGCATACAGACATCTCAATCACACCAAGGGTGGCTGTCACCAAACAGCTTGTCAGGCTTCATCTGGAGAGCTTTACAATGCATCCTGTAATGGAGTGAGATTATTGCTGTCACAAACACCAAATGAGAAGTCAGAGAATAAATATAGTCCAGCATCTGACGAAGCCTGTGGTTTTAATTACCATTGTTTAATTACCTTAAGTAAAGGAAAGGAAATGCTGGTTGTTCCAAAAAGGTTTTTACAGGATACAGAAAAATCCTCACATAAATATCACTTTTATCATTTAATGTTTTCATCTGTTTAAAATAATAAAATTGTACATGATTGTCAGTGTCAGGTGATTTTTCAATTTACAAACATGATTCCAACTTTCGCAGCTTGATTTTGTTCTGAACAGCAGGGAAGACTGTGTGTGATATACAGTGTAGTTAGCTTGTGTTGGCCAGTTAATACATAGTTGGGAGCAAAGTCATTGTTAAAGAACTTATTCTTTAAATTCCAAAAGCTCTTCTGTTAACCAGCCCATTCAAAGGGCCAAATTTTGTATAAATGCATTTTGGTTTGGATGATGGTGTTTCCCATCCATGCATGCTGATGTACAGAAACCCTTACAAGGAGCTGTGAAGTAGTAGAAATAAAAAGGGATGGATACTGATCCTGTTGAATCTTGACTGGCCAATAGAGGACATATCCTCCCAAATTCTATTTAATAAAAGAATTGATCCTTGTGCATCTACTTGGCTTTGTAATAGTGTCCTTACCTACTATGATAGTTAATTAAACATTAAAATATAGTTAAATAGATTTTGTGTGGAAAGGTTCTTTTGTGCATTTAAATATGAGAACAGTGCCACTTGCAAAATTGAAGGTTCAAATGGTAAACTGTCTGGAATAATTTTTTGTGTGTGAAAACAGGCACAGCCAGGCCCTGGTCCTGAGTGTGCCTTTGGAAAGTGCCACAATATAAATATAATTTTTTCATATCCTAAGAAAATTAATTCCCCTACAATAGAATGTGCTGTATTTATTTTTCCAAATTCACTAACAGAGTTTAAATGAAACATTTTGATGTAGTCAAAAACTGAAAACACAAAGTAGTGCTCCCTGATGTCAGTTTTTCTTTCCTTAAGTATAGCTACCTGTTGTTAAACGTGATGTCATGTTAAACCTGCAGTGCTGATGAACAACCCTAAGGTATAGAACTAAAAAATCTGCTAAAATATCTACTTCAAGGACACAAGAATATTTATACACTTCCGTCTATTTAACTATTTAACATAATTCCTCTGATAAAAGACCCTGGCTCCAGGACAAACTATGCGGCATTAAAGTGAGGAGGAGGGATCTCTGCTCTCAGCAGTTAAGTCAAGAATCATTTTACCTTGCTCTAGTCAGTATGTGGCAAAGTCCAAGCATTTTTCTATTTCCTCATCCAAGCTTTTCACCTCCAAACTTTGGAGAGGACAGAAAGTCCTTTTGGACCAAGTTCAGTCTGTCTTTATGATACCTGCCAGACACACAGCTCTGCTTGTGGCTCTGTCTTCTCCTGAAGTTCAGCTGGCAAGGCATGGCATGACTGCAATGACATTGAGGTCCACCTTGGCAAAGATGGTTTTGGTACAAACAGCAGCCATTCCTAATAACACAGAATGACAGGATTCTGCCCTGGCTCTCAAATCTGCTTCAGCTCAGGCTGACTTCATCTTCCCCCACCTCATAATGAGATTCTGAATGTCTTTTAAATGAAATTAGAAGATACTTGCTCATTCCAGGTAAAAATCATCATGATTATTGTATAACTTCAGCAATTAAAACTCATATAAAATGCACTGAGATACACTTATCTAAAAGAGGATAATTTTTTTGTGCTCCACCAAAACTGTGGTTTCATCTAAGAATAAACTTGCAGTTATTCTAAATGACCTTCTGAAATGAAAGTTCATTTGTTAAGAGTCATTTTGGCCTTGACAGCATGTGTGGAATTCTTCTGAATACCTTCACCATTGCTTCTTAAGTTCCTCTCAGAACTAGGTTAAGGTCTTGCCTCCTATTAAAATTTAAGTTCCATGGTAAAAGTTGAATGTTGATGGATTATTTATTTCAGGCTGTGGCAGCCTATTTCCTTTTTCACCTTCTTAAGTTTACAACATCTGTGGTGACTTGCATGAATCAGGTGACCCAGGCAGTTCCTGCTGAAGTCCCGATGATTATGGCTTGTCTTCCATAAGCATTTTCACATTCTTTCTTTGATAACCGGCATCCCCCAAGTTATTGCCTAGTATAACATCCTAATTTCATCTGAAGTAGAAAACTAGCCTATGCTTTTTTTCATAAGATCTTAATAGTGGACTTAAACTACATACCTTATACATCAAAAGTATTTGGCTTTCATTTGGAGTGGGCAAGACAAGATCACAAGAATTTGCTGTGTTTCCAGCTAAGAGATTCAGAGGCACAGCTGTGGCTGGTTCCTGGTGTGTCAGCACAGGGCTGTCAGCTGAGGTGCTGGTGCCCTTCTGCAAGCAAACCACGATGCCGGAGGGATGTTGCATGGAGTTCCTTGCATGAATGAACACATACAGACAGTCTTACAGGAGGAAAGTCTGCTTAAGAATAAAGTTTTTCAATGTACACTATGCCTTTTTAAACCAGCTTCCTAAAATAATGGATTATTCTCATGAGAATACACAAACCAAACTACAAGAACCTCTTGGCAGCAAGGAGACACAAAACAAGTGCATAATTTCTGGTATAATCTGTATTAGGCCATTTCAACTGTAGTGAAATTCTGTCTCATTTTTACTGAATGTTAACCAATGTGAACTAGCTCTAAATATGCTTAAATCCTTGAATTCATGAGTTGTAGATTTAAACCCTGTGTGGGCAGCTAGTTTTGTTAAAGATTTAACATTGGTATATTTCATTTAGTGAAGTTCTAGGTTAAGTTAAATGAAAAGGAAAGATAGAAAATCTTATTCATGTAAGTTTAAAGAAAGCATAGGCATTATAGTTAACATAAGTTCATGTGGGCAAGGTTTTATGCATTCATAAAAGAGATTGCATTTGATCTGATTATATTGAATTAAAAATAAATTATAGTTAAACCTCTAGGGAGAAGAACAAGGATCATGGAGAGTTTTTTAAAGTAATTTTAATTAATTTTCTAAATATGTTTACTTTGCAGTTCATAGAAAATTGATATTCCTATAGTTTCCCTCAGTGAAACAAGCCCTCCTCAAGCTGTGATAAGTGCTTCTCAACATTTCAGTCTGTTGGAAATTTTATACGTTTAAATCGTATGTACCAATTCTTTTTTTTTTTTCTTGCAATGCATAGCAATCCAGAGCTTACCCCTAAGGTGACAACATGCAGTCAAGATATTTAGCTTACTCCAAACCCAGCTGGGACAGATTCCCTGGGAGGCTTCCATGGAAGATGAAGGAACTTGTGAGTGCTGTCAATTTTTCAAGGACACTCTCCTGGAAGCACAAAACCAGTTCATGCTCTCTAAAGGTAGGGAAAGTAGGTGGAATAAGAGACTCCCTGGCTTAAATGTGAGCTTTTGGGTCTGCTCAACACTGAAAGAGAAGCGTACCAGAGATGGAAAACCCATGGAGAACTACAAGGGCATTGCCAGGGTGAGCAGACGCTGTTAGAAAAGCAAAAGCTCAGCTCAATTGAAATTGGCCAGAGAGGTCAAAAACATGAGAAAGGGTTCTTTAGGTACATGACCAACAAAAAGAAGGAAATATTGGCCCACTGTTCAGCAGTAGAGGTGAGCTGGTCACCCATAATGTTGAAAAGGCAGAGATTCCCAACACATTCTTAACCTCTGTCTTCACCTTGGGACACAGGTCCCAGAATTAAAAATCCAGGTTTATAGATACACTGACAAAAACACCGAAACAACTGTCAGTGAAAGAAGAGTTTGTCTGTGAGTTGTCACAGGAGCCTGATCCCTACAAACTGATGGGTCCTGATGTTACCCATCCAAGGGTTTTAACAGAGCTGTTTGATGTCATTGCAAGGATGCTGTCCATAATCTTGGAGAAGCTGTTGATATCAGGGGACATCCCAGAAGACTGGAAGAAGGCTAATGTCAGCCCATGTACAAGAAGGGCTTAAAGGGGGATCCAGGAAATTACAGGCCTGTCAGTTTTACTCCATTCCCTGGGAAAGTTGGGGAACAAATTCTCCTGGGGATTCTCACAAGTCAAATGAAGCACATGACTGGGAAAAGCCAGCAGGGATTCACCAAAGGCAAGTCATGCTTGACAAACCTGATCACCTGACAACACAATGACCTCAGTTGATGTGGGGTGAGCAATGAACATTGTCTCCAAAACTTTCAGTATATTTTCCCAGAGACTCCTCCTAAACTAGTGGATGCATTAGGGTCTAGACAGCTGGTCCATGCAGTGGATGGGGAACTGGCTAGCCAGACACAGCCAAAGGATGGTGGGAAATAACTCCTTTTCAAACTGGCAGCCTGTGACAAGTGGGGTCCTCCAGGAACCAATATTGGGCTCACATCTGTTTAATATCTTCATAAGTGATCTGGATGGGATCAGGTATATCCTGATGAAGTTTGCTGATAATACCAAGCTGAGGGGGAAAGTGGACAATTTGGGAGGGAGAGCCACCCTGCAGGAAGACCTGGATAGGCTGGAAGAGTGGGCTGCCAAGAACTTTATGAAGTTCCACAAGGACAAGAATTTGCACCTGGGAAATACAATTCAGGAGTGCAGCACAGGTGGGGATTTGTCAGCCAGAGGGACCTGAGGGTCCTGGTAGACAGCAAGCTCAGTGTCAGTGACCAGGGTGCCCCTGCTGCAGACAAGAAAGCCAAGAAAGGCTGGACCAGGCTCCTTTCAACCTGGTACTGTGTGATACTAGGATCAAACAGATCTTACAGCCTATCTACAGGAAGCAATTAGTCAGCTCTACATAAGTGGATGTCATTCACTGTGGATGACTGGTCTGCTTTTTAAAGAACATACCTGAAATTATTCATCCTTATTAGAAATGTGGTCCAATAAATACCTTAAAATAAGCTGTAACAGAATGAAAAATTTCCAGCCAGAAAAAATATGCATAGGAAGAAAAATTAGCACCCAAAATGGCAAAGTATTTCAAATGTTTCTGTTAAAACACTAAAAAAGATCAACACAAAAGTTTAATGATGTAGTCTCAAGCTTGCAGACACAGGAAGCATGCTACCATAAAATCAGGGGAAATAGATTAGCAATCTAGAGACCAGATGGTTAGTATTTACTTGCTGACATAACACCACCAAATGTTCCTAAATTTCTTTTTTAAATTTGTCTTTCACATTACATTATCAGCATAGGAACTGATCTTGCAAACATATACATAAAGATTTCAATATATTTATTCATTTGTGTAGTCCCATTGACTTTAGAACAGGAGACTGTTCACAGAACCAGGCTGTCAACTTGGGGTAAGTCTACAGTTATAAACAATTTGCCTACACCAATTTGGGCAGGCTAAGTCTGTGGAAAAAAAAAAATCCTGTATACATCTTTTTGTTCTGTTTTTTTTTTTTCTTTGAAAGAGAGCATTTTATGGAGAATATGATAAAAGACATACCCCATCCATAAATTTATCTCCTGGTCTGGTGGATAACTGTTAAACTTGGCAGGGCCTGAAATAAACGGAAGGTTTAAAATGCTTCTCCAGTTTGAAGTCAAGGAGTAAAAATAAATTTTAAAAAATTTACTAACATTTTTACCCAGCAAATTTTTAATACCAGCATGAGAAATTATTGTTACAGGATCCTCCTACAAATTACTTAACCTCACTCCTCTGTGAAAAATATCCTTGATTCCAAATGTTTGTTCAAAGCCTTATTTTCCTCTGGTGGGAAGAACTGTCACTCCTTGCTCTACACTGTTTGTAACTTGTTTAAGTTACCTGTAGGGGCTCTCTATTCAAAATATACAGAATTTCACTAGCATTACTTTTCACACTCAAAGTTTTCTCCTTCAGCTTTATGTTTTTTCTTTAATTTTCACTTCCTAAAATGTTGTGTTCCCTCATCCCTGTCATTACTGGGGTTTTTTGGGCGGCATTTACATTGCCCTTTTGTCCAACATATTCTTTCCCAACTTTCATCAAAATCTGCTTCTCAATTGTCTCCATGTTTCTCAGCATCTCATTTTCTCATCTGCCTCCTCAGGTTCCTTTTCCTTTATTGTCACATCACTTACAAAGTCACCTGCCTCCAGGCAGTGTATTTCCTCCCCTATTTATTTTTTTTCCATTTGTACCATCTGTGTGTGTACACATAATACAAGCACTTCATTTGGCAAAAGTGATATCAAACTGAGTTGACCCCATTACTGCCCTGAAAATAAGAAATTTGTTTTCCTATGCTACAGTTTCTTTGTTGATCACACTTCTGGAAGCCATGAGGGAGTTCCTTTAATGTCATAGTTAAAATTATAAACTTGGGTAAATCCTCATGTGCTCCCCTTGAATACTTATTATACTCAGCTCCCTACTCATACAGACACAGCAGCAGTGTCTGTTTTACAAAACCAGGAATTCTACCAAGAATTTTAATTATAGGCAGGTCTTTCAAGTCACATTTTGTCTGGATATCACAAACATTCAAATATCTGTACCTGCAGCTAACTGTCCCATGCAGATGAAAAGACTGTGACTACCTTAAAAAAAATCCCCTCAAAAAACACTCAACCTATTTTTTCAAGTAAACCTTCAGTCTCTACAGAAACAAAAGAAACAGCAGCAAAAGGAGACTATGGGTAGGTGGGGAATTTTCAGCTTGTCAAAAAAACGTTAGAAAAGTTGTCATACATGAAACTTGTAATATTTGTCTAAAGCTTTGCTGTGTTCACTCTAGGCAAAAACAGGGCTAGAACACAGGTAATCTGCATGGATGGGAATAAAGTCTTTTGTTAAAGAGGTGAGGATTTAAAACTTTAACTTCTAAATGTAACTACTAAAAGTGATGGTTTATATAGAAAAAAATCTCAGAACCACCAGAAAACATCATTTCCTTTAAAGCAGTTATGTAAGACAATGTTTGGAGTCTCATCTGGAATGCTGTGTGTCATTCTGGTCACTCACCTTTAAAATAGATGAACTCAAAAGAGCAAAATTACCAAAACAGTCATCAAAATCCTACCTTATAAAAGAGCATTATCCATCAGAAGAAGGGTTGCATGGGACATGACCTCTAGCTCTCAAGAGTAAATGCTATATAAAGCAATAAAATCAGGGTTGATACAAGAAGAAAATTGGTATAAATTAATCAGGAATAATCCTAGAAGCAATTTTATAAACTGCATTTACCTGTCTGTAATGCAGGTCTTCATATAATTCTGGGGACAAAACCCCTAACTTATTTTAAGATACAGGTTCATACATTTACAAAAGGGATTATATGACATGGTTCCTCGTGGTAGCAGGCAAGGAATAAGATTTTCTCCATTCTTGTGTTCCTACAGATCTGGAGCTGTAATAACAGGGAAGGAGGGGGGCTACCTACTCTACAGTACAAGGTTCAGCTCTGCTGCCATTGTTACTGCTCATTAATTGGATTTAATTGCTATATGATTCAAGTAGATAGTAAGATTAAATACTATTAATTCCTGTGGAGTCAGGGGAGAATTTCTTTATATCTTGCTGTAAACAAGTTAAAGTGTCAGGAGGCACTGAACATGTAGCCTACCTGAATGCATGACAGATCTACATCTGAAATGTGTAAAACTATCTTTGCAGAATCAGAAAAGAAACTTGGCATTTTTCCAATCATGCAATCACTGTAGTAAAGGTGGGGTGAGGGACAGTTACTTTGTTTATATTTCAGCAGCTACCATTTTCTCCAAGTTCAGCCTTCTACTACATTTGCTTTATCCTGTTATCATTAATTAAAATCAGTAGGAATGGGCCACATTTAGATATTTAATAACTTTTAATCTTCATACCTGGAGGACCTTCTGAGAATATTTCCACATATTATTAATTTGCTTGGTGAGTATAACCTTCATCCTGTTCAGCAAGCATAATTAGAGATTAATTTGTTGTGTCAGGGATTTAAAATATTTTAGCTCACCTTTAGGCAACAACATATTAAATTATATAGGAGAATGCAAATACCTTCAAAGACAAAGTTTTAAGAGGGGACATTATTCAACAGTGAGAACGGAAAATGGCCTGAGTTCCTTGTACTAATTCTTCAGTTTCTGTATTGGAATCCAACCTTTGCTCTTGCCTGTACAGTAAAACAGGCAGAAATATGGGGGTTTTTTAAGGAGAACACAAAAGAAAAAGGCATATAGGAAATTCTGGCGGCCAATTTTCGAATTTAAGTGAAAGATTATTTAAATGGTTCATGGAGGAGCCATCTCGAGCTGGTGCTGTATCTCAGCTCCCTGGGTCCAATCCTCCGTGCCTGCGGCTCCCTCGTGTGGAGCATCCCTGTCCGTCTGGGCATCAGCACCGCGGATCCTCACCCTGCCACCGGTGACTGTGAACCTCTCACTGTGCTTATCATTCCCAGTACTCCTTGCTGTCCCAAAGCATACTATCTGCCCAGCAGTAAGCAGTAAGTTTCTTCTTTTTCTTTATTTCATTTGATAGACATTATATATATGTATATACACACAGTACAATACTTTTCTTTTGTGATAGAGAATAAGTGAAAGTTTTCATTGCTGGTTGTTTGTTAAGTCAACAGATTCCAGTTAATAATGAAAAAAATTTAAACGTTTAATATCAAAAGCAACTTCAAGTATCTTCTATACATTTTAGTATTCAGTATATAGGAAGGTGGTTTGGGGCTTTTGTTTTTATATCAAAAAATGTATTTGAATAGACTATTTTTACCCTCATACTTTAAAGTACTATTCATATCAGGCATAGAGTTTAAAATTATGTAACTCATGGTCCCAACTAGCTCTTCACAAGAACCATAGGTCACTTATACAATCAGGCATATGTTTCAAAACAGGGTTTAATCATCAGCAAAGTCAAGGTGCAATAACCATGTTTAGAAATGCACTATTTCATTCTCCTAAAACAGATTAAGCTGCAGTCCTTGATGTGAAGCAATATACAGCACCACTGCTTGCAAAACAATACCTGACTTAGGCATAAATAGTACTTCAGTTCCCCGAGCTATTTATCCCTTAACCTTTCTGTATAAAAATAATTCAATTTAGGCATATATTGCACTAATTTTATCATACTGGATAGTTCTCCACCCTGCATTATGTTTTCTTTGCTGAACTAGGATTACACTAGGGTTATAATTTCCATGGAAAACCTGGGAATAGGGCAACAGACACACATATGGTGTGTAATAAATGGTTATCTATAATAGCAATAGTAATCTCAGAGGCATTCACAAAGGAAACTACACATTAGACTTGGAGATCATTTTCTCCAGTAGATTCATCATTCTCTCCTGTAACTGTAAGCTTTGAACTTGAATGATGTTCTGCTGATCCAGGATCCTGCGCACTTCTCTACAGGTTTCTTCCATAGCTCTACTCAACTTCTTTTGTTCTTCCAACATCGCTTCCATTAATTTTAGCTTCTTCTTTTGGAAACTGCAGTTTTGCATTTTTCTTTTCTTAACTGGTCTTTCTTCAGCTCTGAAATGTGAATATTTGTTAGAAATTAGAGTTATATTTATAAAAAGAAAGAACCCAAAATTCGATAGCATATTCTTGGCCAAGCTACAACCTAATCATATTTTTAAACCCCTGTGTTCTCCAATAAATTCCCTCTCAAGTTTGTGCCAAAACATAAGTATTTAATGTATTATTGCATAGTGTTACAGATTGTAAAAAAAAAAAAAAAAAAAAAAAAAAAAAAAAAGAGAAAAGAGAGAGAGATTTTACTTCTCATTGTTCTTAACAAGAATTTTCCATGCAGAATAGCAGACTTTTATTTTTTTTTAATCTTGACATGTCTTACACATTGAATTTATACACTGTACTGGGAGAGACATTTGGCTTATGTGGCCCATTGAAAATCCAATTTTAAAGCTGCAATAACCATCCCAATCCAGAGAAAGTGCTGCATGGCTACATGTGGTGGTATCTTACAGCTTGTTTTTTACAGCATTGCACCAGTAAGGCTGGTCCCACTCCAGAATATGAGTCTCAGAATTTGCCCTTGTGCCAAGACACAGCAGTAGCACTGACCACTCTTTTTTTTATATTCCACCACAAAACATTGTAAACAACATAAAAGCCTGAAAAGACAGAAAAATACCTGGGGGTTCTGGTTGACAGTGGCTGACCATGAGCCAGGTGTGCCCAGGTGGCCAAGAAAGCCAAAGGCACCTGGCCTGGATCAGCGATACGCGGCCAGCAGGACCAGGGCAGTGACTGTCACCCTGTAGTCAGCACTGGTGTGGCCACACCTCCAGTCCTGTGTCCATTTTTTGGTCCCTCACGACAAGTAAAACATTGAAGGGCTGGAGCATGTCCAGAGAAGGGCAATGGACATCCTCATCTGAAATATGCAGAGCTGCCATGTGGAATTTGGGGAACATTTTAAGAATTTCCTCTATGCTTCATCATGCTGGGTTTCTGATTTGGAAGAGAGATTAACATGGCAATAAAGACAGTGCTCTCAAGGTGTAAAGGTTAAATGGCTGTTCTAACTTGGGGTGACAAACCACACAGTCAAAACCAGCCCATGTGGCATGCAAGTGAGAACACACACACAGACCTGTGTTTCTTAACCTGCAGCCTAAGAAGAAATCATGCTAAACTGTGAAAGAGGAAGAAAGGCAAGTAGAAAGCACATGTGTAAGTGTACTACACATCTGAGAAACCTCCAGTTAGAGCTGGATAACTCCTTTCCTAACTTTAAGTGAGAGACCATGTCTTCATTTACACTTTTTGTAACTCCAGACTGGAGTCCCCAACATCAAAGATATCTGATGATGTGCCTTGAAGTCCCTTGACACAAACAGCAATCTCAGTCTTGTTCTGCCAAATGCAGTATCCTTTCTAGGTGAAATGCAATGATGTGATAGTACAGTTGGGACTAGAATGCCATGTCAACATGCTGCAGATTTTAAGGCATCCTCGAATAAAGATACTTTGAACTCTTGAAGAATGTGTTTTTATTAATGTGAAGAAGGGTAGTGGGGGTGAGGTCACTCAGCTGTGGCAGATTTGTAACATAATTTGATTCATGTTCTTATCCTACTTGACAGGCTTTGTGCAGCAGCGACTGTGACATTCAGATCTGTCAGCAGGAGAGATAAACAATCCTTAGCACATGAAAGGCTTAATGCAAATATAAGAAAAAGACACAAGCCCCTTGACATTTAAGAGTGCAGTGACCCTAAAAGGGTGAGATACTACCTACTTTGGAAGGTATACAATAAACTAAGATTTGCAGGTTCTATATAGCATATTTGATTTGAGGCATCAAATAAACATGAATAAAATAAATACACGCTGCTCTGCTCAAACTGTGGGCCTGCTCAAACTGTGGGTCAAACTTGCTGCTGATCACTGAAATTATCAGTTTTACAATCCTGTGAGAATGGGTCTTGGCTAACACTAAATTCTGTTTGTCTCCCTTAACTCTAAGGGTCAGAATTACTTTAATGTGGTTCTCCAAGAGGTCAAGCAAGTGGGAAAGATCTACAGCAGTCTAAGGACAGCACTGAATCTGTTATTCCAAGGTTCCCATCACTGTAGTCACATTCACAAAGAATGCATGGTTTCTGGTAGGCAGAGCAAGAAACTTTCTGAAATGGTGATATTATTTTAGCCAAAGTCACCTTTTGAATTTAAACTTGTCTTGACAGAGGATTTAAATGCTGGAAACTTGATGAATCTGTATTATCTTCACCATACAGTGTTAGAAAGTAGCTGTGGTAAGACCTCCTGTCTTGAAGCCAGTACAAACTCACTCCACAAGAGGGCTTGTGTGTTGTCAACATAAACACTGGTGAGAATGGTCCTTAACAAGGAATGAGAGAGAAAATCTGAGGCTTGTCAATGGTACTGAGATGCACTGAGCATTGTGTGTATTTCTTGGTAACCACCATTTGGATTTCAATTTCAACTGAGACAACAACAACAACAAGAAAAACATAAAAAACTAAGGTGGAGTGATTTAGATTGAAAGATCTAAAATAAGCCTTATTTTTAAGAGAAAAGAATCTTTGAAGTGTCTTCCTAGAGTCTGTAAAGGATTTTACCTGTTTTTCAGTTAAATCCATCAAAGAACTGTAAGACATGAAACCATACATCCAAGACAGTGTCTTGCACAGCTCCAGAGAGAAAGGAGCAGCAAATTTTTACTGTGTCAGCAGGATCTGCAGTCTGCTAATAACTAAAAAAGTACTCACTGAAGAATACTATTCAGAACTGTGTTTTAGCACAGAGAAGTTCCTCCAAAAGCAATGATCCAAGGATTTTTCAAGGTCTCCCAAGTACTCCCTACATTTGTTTACAGTAACAAACACAACTTGGTAATTGGACCTTCATTAAAAAGAAATACTTATTTCAGAAATTTTCAGAAAGCCCTAGCTTTGGTGATGGTCCCAATCTCCTTTTCTCTCCACTGACTGATACTGAAAGGGTTCTATGGTCACTCACAAGTTCACAGTAAGGAACTGGCACTTACAATCCTTTCCTCTTGCAGAATTGCTGCTGAAAGGGAGCTCTTGAGAAGGGCCCTACAAAAGAAGGCTCTAAAGAATCTAATTTACAAGCAAAGAGCACTTGCAACATGAAACAATGTAAAATGTCCAGTGATGCCCATGCAGTGATGAGTTATTTGAATACTGAAGTGTTTCCTCAGATTCTGAGCCATCTTTCTTGAGAAGTTCTAGGTGTCCTGGGCAGCATGTCAGAGACCCCTCTCTGTCAGTAATTTTTTATAACAAATTCAAGAGAGAAGCAGGAATATGGGTTCAGCACCAAGTAACCCAAGCAGCACCAGTATCCTCAAACAGTTCTAGCTAGGAGCATCTCTCCTTTGCCATTGTATGGGCACAAGAATAAGCAACTACTGATGATGGCTGTAGCATCAATCAGCTCCTGATGCCCGTTCTCCATGTGCAGCCAACACCTCTGTGACAACAGGGGTGCAGCAGATCCTGGCAGCGTCCACAAGCTGCTGAAGGAGCACCTCCCTCTCTGCCAAGCCCAGTCTCTGAAGGTAGATTTTGAGGGAAATCTCAGCAAAGAAGGGCCTGGGGAAGTAAGGACCTCAAATACAATCTGCTGGTACTCTTCTGCTGGGCTTCCAGTGCCTATGGCAGAGTATACAAGAGATTGGCATTGGTATTCCTCTGACAACATGGACCAAGCGTGGAAGGGCTCTGGCACTGGGACCATATTCCAAACAGAACCTCACAAAGCTATTTCCCTGCTATGCTTTAAAACAGACAGGGAGGGTTCCAAGGAAGCAAACCAAGGGAAAGAAATTGTTCCCTCTCACCTAGGAGACTGAGCAGAAATGACTGTGTGCAATGGACATGAGAGGGAACAATGCAAAACCTCCAGATACAATCAGGCAACGTATTAGGCAAGTCTCAAATGTATTTGCTGTCTGCCTATCTAATACCAATTTAATTCATTGTTCAATTAAAATTTCCTTGACTGATTGCTTACACTTATCCAATACAGCTTGTTTCAGGGACATGTGTGAATAATTAATGAAGCAGGAGTTGAATACAAAGATGTATTATTGTCATAAAACCCTAACAACAATTCCTCATTTCTGACTACTTCATGGCAAACAGGTCTCCAGTACCATCAGTTCTTGGAATTTATGGTTTTTAACACCTAAAACCTGTTTCTCACTGGTTTGGGTTTTTTTAGCTCCATACAAATCCGAGCAGACCTCCATAATCTATGTCCATATTTAAAAAATTAACAATGGTCTGGATATAATCAATATTAATATTAAGAGATGATATAAAGATTTCAGAGCATAAGGACTGAGGATGAGGCAACCTGGATCTTCTGGTAAACTAAGCTCATTCAGTCATTCAAATGCATTCAGGAATTAATGAGACTCATCCTTGAAGTAAAGCACAGAAAAGAACCACAAATGGCTTGGAGCCTGGGCAAAGCACCTTGCTAGGATAACAAGTCTGCATAATGAGTTAAGATGCACTACATAATGCACATAGCCTAAAGCTCAAAGTTCTTTGTAGATTATGCCTATTCAGATTTAAAAAGCCATAGCATAATTTTAGAAATAGTAAAGTCTTTGCCAAAGATGCTGTTTCCCAAATTAGCATCATCACCAAGTTTTAATGCACTTCTTTTAATCCATATCTTGGCTAGTTAATGTTACCAGTTCTTACTTTTTCTTCCTGTGTAAACATTCTGTAGCAAATTAATTCATCTACATTTAAAAATTTTTAAAAAACCAAACAGTATAATCATGGCACACAACCACCTTGCCAGAAAGCAAAAAATACTGAAAGGTTCTCCAATATACTTAAAAGAAAGGTAAGCAGAAGTAACATCTGAAAGTTTCATTCACTAAATTCACATTAGACACAAGGGACTGGTTTAAACGAGGATTTGCTAATCACTAGAAAGAAGGGAAGAGTGAATCCTCCATCTTCTGTATTTATCAGGTCTAGACCAGACATTCAGTATTTCCCAGAGTGAAACAAATGATAGAAACAACGAAGTAGAGGACAGCAGAGACAGGGGGCTCCTGGGTGCAGGAGTGCCCTGCTGCGGGAAGGGTGTCACAGAATCCTCCCAATAACATTTCTGGACTCCAGATCAGAATGACCAGATTCAAATGCTATCTAACAAGAAGTCAGACTAGACAACACAGTGGTTTTATTAAGGTCTTTTAACCTATGAAAGTAACTCTTTCACCCCCATTTTCTGTACAGTAGAAATGGCAGAACACATGAATCTGAACTACATTCACAGCCTGTATAAATATGTTCTGTCATTATTTTACTAAGAAAACAAAGACCATAAATTAATCCACAGAGTGAAAAAACACTGTTTTCAATTAGATAAAAAGTCATTTATAGTGGTGTCAGGAATTTGGATTTTAAAAGTTTAAGCTGCAGTACAAGACTCCACAACATTGCATTATATTTTATGACCATAATAGAATAATTCTATTATTGTCAGATGTTTTGTACTGTAGAACAGTGTCAGAGCAGTGTTAGAACAATACCAAACAATTACAGGCACCCCTTTAAAAGGGATTCCAAATGTTTTCCTCATCTACACAATTGAAACAAAAATTCAAGTTAATTTTATCTCACATTAATTGTGTTATCACTAACCAGCAAAATTTGGCTTTTGTAAGAAGGTCCTGAACTCAAAGTTTTTCAAACAGAATGCAAAGAAAACCAGTTTTAACTATTTTTAAATTGACAATATGTATGTACTGATTGAAGTATAAAACTTGACATTTTTTGCTATCATGAAAGCTAAACATTCAATCGATTTTTTTAAGCTATAATTTATATAGCCAAGTAGACTCCTGCTATGTTCAAAGATACTGTGAAAAACACAAAGCTGACACTCCAAAGCTGTGTTGGCGAGTTTAAAGGAATAACAGAAAAGTTTTCAGAAGTTTAAAAGTTATTTAGAAAGAACTACTGTTTAAAAGTTTTCTTCTCTATCAAATGTTGCCATAACATTAGGATTTTATTACTGAATAAAAAATCCCGTAATGTAAGTTATAAAATATACAGCTGCAAAACACATCTGTATTTTCATATAGACATGAGTGTGTGTTTTTCAAAATAAGAAAACTGAGGACCTAAAACATTCTTTTGATTTTAATTCCCAGAATTGTCTTTTATTCTTTTTTTAAATCTGTTGGATAAATTGTCTACTGTTCAGAGACAAGGGCATTGATAAAATAGCCAAGATAGACCCAAATTTTTTATGCTAATTCTTTCCTCTCTTGTTGGCTATTTCAAAGTGTTTTTCAAATACAGGATGAGACACTAATTGCTTAAGCTATAAATTGCTTCCTCAGGTCATATTTTTCCATTAGTAACTCTAAAGTAATTAACTTCCTTGTCTAACCATGGCAGATCTAAGTGATTTTAACCCATGTGGTGTCACAAGCAAGCAAGGCATTTTCTTCTGGCCAAGAAAGGGTTCCCTACTCTGCTCTCAGTCATCAGCCTAAATTAAAGAGGTCAAAGCTGGACAAGCTTTTCAAACCCCCTAGGACTATTGGAATACCTTTTTTCTCCTTCTAGACACATTAATACAAGTGGTTTCTAAATTTTAATCCAATCACGATGTTCACCTATAATATTACACTGATCTCTCATGTGGTATCTACTGCTCAACTTCTTTTCTTTTAAAACAGGGGAACTGTATTTCAACTTGTGACTGCGTAACCATCTTGCTGCTAAATGACATGGACAATATTCCATTGCACAAAATTCTCTCATCGTGGAGACTGCAGGAGCATGGCTGAATTCCTAAGTTATGGAGGCCCTGCCATCCTGAGAGCTCCCTGCCCTCCCCTGCAGCTCCCAGACCCTCCTGAGCCAGCCAGTGCAGCCACTCCTGGCAGGCAAGAGCAGCGTTGCAAGGGCTGAGTGGCATTACCTGCCCCAGACTCGCAGCCAGCTGAAAGCCAGCCTGTGCCACCAGGACCTGCATGTAAATGAGATGCAGTTTCTAAATTTAGCCAAATAATGTTAAAATACTTTTTACTATAACAGGTTAGGGTATTTCCTTGGATAAAATTATAAATAAATAAACAAACCAGTGAACCTGAAGCTGGCTAAAATGCATCATAGCTTAAATTTTCCAGAGCTTATAATTTAGTGACTGATTTAAGTCCATTTTAGCTCTAAATGAAAGCACCTACATGAGAGTGAGAGTCCACCTGCAAACTGTGGGCACAACAGATGTGGGTTTGGGGTTGATTAACTTGATCTCTGTGAGGAATGTCTATGTTCTGTAGTAAAGCCTGGTGTGGCAACCTCTGTCCTCTTATGGTACAAAATCTGTGCTGCCCTGGAGTCGCCCCTAAGCTGAAAAAACTTAACATCCAATATTTTTAAAAAACCTGATGTTATGAAGTAGTCAAGTGAATAAACTCCACAATGTTTGTGGAAATGTGACCTTCTAATTAAATATTAAATAATGTTATTGTAAATCCAATTGGGAATAAAGTTATTGCATCTGAAATGTGACTGTGGAGTTTGCAAATCCTAAAGTCAAGCGAGTTTGTGTATCAGGAATATCAACTACTTACAATGGACTAGGATGAAAAAAAATTGTTGCTTGTGAACAAAAAGGTTGCTATAGTTCAAGAGTTATGCACCCTAGTAAATATTCGTTGCCAAAAAAAATAAAAAGTTTTAAGAAATAATCAGTTATTCAAAGACTATCTGCTTGAATGATTTAATGAATTTAACTTAGTTTTATTCATCCAAGAGTGGGTCTGGAAACAATAATTCGAACTTGCTCAGTTGGTTCTTTTTCCATCTCAACATCTTTACAGTTGCAGGACTGACAGGTAATTTTACTGTTACAGTTAAAGCCTCACACACTCACGATAAGGATCTCTAGGATCAACTTTTTTCCTGCCAGAAAACTGTAATCAGCTCTTATTTCACACCACTCTGGATGAAAAATGAGACCAGTAAAGTCTGAAATTTGTAACAAGAGTACAACCCTGCCTTTTGTTAAAATGCTGCCTTCCAGGGAACTCCAATCATATCAAAAAAAAAAGGAATCACACGTTTGCATCTCAAACTAGCATTTACTTTGAAAAAAATTACATTCTCAAATGTATTTAAAATAATGCAATGTACTTTCAAACTGTATGAGCAGCTTTTCAGCGTCCAAAGAAATATTTATTTTGCATCTTTTCACCATTTTAATAATAACTGAAGCCAGAGAAATTTCATACTCATATCAAAAGCAGAACTAGAGCAAGCCAAAAATCATCTAAGCAGTATGTTATATCTCTGATTGCACCACAGGACTCTCTTGAACATGCCTGTACTCCTTTTATGAACACTCTCCCTGATGTGAGCTGTGACATGCATGCTGAGTTTTGGCAATAATATACAACTTTTTGCCCAGTTCTCCTACTCCCTTCCAGTCTTTCATAAAGGAATAAAGAAAATGCCCTAATTCAGCAAAGTGATTGAGATTGGGGAACAGATCTCATTTGTGATTTACAGAAAAAAATACAAGAGCTGCTAGAGAAAAATGCGTGAGGCTGTTCCCTTTACACAGCAAATTCGGTTCATTCTGCAAAATACTAAAAAGAGGGGAAAATAGATGCTACCTCAGCTTGTAAGAAAGCAAGCTTGATGAGCTCTCTGAATGTTCATCTTCAAAGCATTCTTCCCTTCCTTCATATGTGAACTGGTTATATGGCAAATACAGAGGGGTGGACTTGGCTGATGGAGATTGCGAGGCCTCTGTCTGTGATGTAGAAGGACCTGGCTGCTGATTTTCATGCATTTTCACATCGCTGTGGTCTGTCACTTTGGATAAGATCCTATCAATGGTTTTGTAGTAAGGCCAGTCAGGTGCCACAGTTTCACTGTCAGTCATGCATTTTAATTTCCTGTAAGAAAAGGCACAGAACATTAAAGCTTGTTTTGCTACAAAAAGTACTTTTCATACAGATCTATCTCAAAGCATTTGTTCTGGTCACATTTAGGAGTCAAACTGAATGCCTTTAAAGAGAATAAAATTAGACACTTTTCTTCTTTAACTTCCAGTGAAGCCTTTCAGGTTCTTTTCCTAGGTTTGACCTGTTATAAAAAGTTGCATGTAAACCCCAGATGAAATTCAATACAGATAAAGAACATTACAACTTCTAATGGAAACAGGACTGTGTTGGTGGCTGAATAATTTTCTTCCCCTTAAAGAATGCCCAACTAACCAATCTGACAGCAGTCCCTGACAACTGGGCTAAGCAACACGCCACAGCCTTTACTGAACTGAGGGCAGCCCTGCGCTTTCATGCTTTGAAGAATGAATATTTATTTTCTATAATGAATACAAGTGGCTATAAATACAATGCATATCCTTTTCCTAATATGGCTTAAAAGCCCTGAAATGCCTTGGTAAATATCCTTGTAACAACCATGAGATACAGACAACTGTTCATTTGTTACAGATGAATGCAGGGAAAAGATGAACTAGGGAAAAGTAGAGAGTTTCATTAATATACCAAAAAAAAAATTCAAAGCAAAACCAATCAAAAACCCCTAAAACAGTTAATAATGCATTTAGAAACAGCATGCACAAAAACATTACATCACAGTGGACTATCAACCATGACTCTGTCCTTCATGTGTACCTTATGAGATTTATTTTTCAGTCCTCAGACAAGTTCACTGCTATCCCAGTGGTTACCCAGTGTTATTTTATTTTCTTTTATTGAGAAATATAAAACCGAGGTATATAGATGTAATATACATCTCAAAGAAATTCCACTGCCCAACTAGAGTCCCAAACTTTCTTTTCATTTGCCTCTGTCAGTTCAGATCTTGTTACTCTGAATCAAAATGCAGGAAGGGAGCACAACAGGAAAGGCAAGACCAATGACAAATGCCCCATTTTCATAAACCAGATTTCATTCAAATTAACAAAAAGCTGAACCAAATTTGATTCTCACAGCTAGAGGTTTGCATTTGCAGGTAAAAAAAACCAACCAAACAAAGAAAAAACCAAAAAAACACTATTCCTGGACACCTGGCCCACCCTTCTTTTCTTGAAGCCTTTCAGGTTTTCTCTTCTCAGAATCATTCCTGCCCACACCAGTCTTGCAAGGGGTAGAATTAAATAACATGTAAACATGAAAACAATGATGCCAAACTTAAAAGTGAGAACTTGAAGTTCTTCCTTTTAAAATGCTGTCAGCCTAGAATAAGGGGAAATCCACTAGTGGGAAAAGAAGGCAGTAAGATTTGCTTAGATTTTAAAGCCCTTTAAGGATTCTTTTCTCCTTGTCCTTGCAAGGTCTGATGAGCTTTTCCAGCTATTTAGAAATGCACATCATAGTCCTGCAAAGCAGAGCCTCACAGCCATCCATACTTTTATGCCCTCTATGCATTCAAAATTTTAATTTCATACATATTTCACAACCTACTGCTGCAATTTCATAGTCAGAGAATATTGAGCACAGCCTACCCATCCAGCACAGACAGAAAATAGCTAAACACAGGCCTGACAACAACCATCAATTAATATTGATTATTTTTAGTTCAATTGTTGGGGTTATTTGCATGAAAAACAGATCAATTATGCCACTATAAGCTAGTAGCCAAGCCTCCATGCCATATTTGTTTGCCTGTGTTGAAATTCTCAATGTGTTCAAGCTATGAGGTTTAGAACTGAGCTGCAATTATGCAGTGCATTCACCGTGGTCAGGCATCCCCAGGGGTGAGGTGGCAAAGGCCAGGGGTGACCACATCTCAGCTGGGCCACTGCCAAGTCCAGCAGCTGCACTGAGACTTCATGGGACATGGTCTGAGCCCTTAGGACTGCAAAGCATTGTGTCAAAAAGGGCAGGACAGGCTTAGAGCTGATACTCTGCTGCTGCTCTGGGAACAGACTTGTACTGAGCCCAGTGTCAGCCAGGAGCCCCAGGTCCCCACCAGCAGTTGCTGTCCTGCCAGGCCGTCCCCTCCTGCTCCAGCATTTGGCCATCCCAGGAGGAGGACTTTGCATTTGTCCTTGTTGAATTTGATGGGGCCCTGTCAGCCCATTCCTCAACCTGTCCAGGTCCCCGAGTGCCAGTCCTGCCCTGCAGGGACTGCTGCAGACTGCAGCCCCAGTTTGGCACCATCTGCAAACCAGTGAGCATGCACTCCACCTTTGCCTTTGGATGGTTGATTTTAAACAGGGCATGTCCCAGTGCAAAACACCTGCAGTCCTCCACTGGGAATGAGCCTCTAGGCAGAATACAAACCATTAACAACCACTCTGTGCCCAGAGATCCAGAGAGTTTTCAGCCAGCTTGTAGTCAGTCCTTCCACCTGCAATGTAACATCCCAGCTTGGATAGAAGGATGTTCTTGGAGACCGAGTCAAAAGGGTTTGTACTGTCAAGCTAGACAATACTTTGCCCTACCCTCACCCACAGATCTAGTCTTCTAAAAAAGAAAGCAAGCAGGTCGGTCAGAAGTGATTCAGTGCTGGTAAATCTGTTCTGGCTATTCCCAGTCATCACTTTCTCCTTTCCGTGACTGGAAATTGCTTCCAAAACTTCTTGCTCAGTGATCTTCTAAGGAGTTGAAGGGAAGAACTCTTCATTCCTGTTCCTGCCTTTCTGAAGATTCAACAGCCTTTTTCTGGTCCCTAGAGACCTCCCTCAATCTTCACAAAGTTTCAGAGATGGTTCCTGACTCAGTCCTTTCCTGCTGCTGGTATTTCTGATAACTCTGCTGCAGGCACACCCGCCTGGGCAGCGAAGGCTGAAATACAGACACCAACTACCCTCAGCCTCATTACTTGCATCTGCTTCCATTAAATCACCCTGTGGTGATTCTGGGGCAACCCAGGTACAACTACACTCTGGGGGATGAAGAGATTGAGGGCAGTCCTACAGGGAAGGAGCTGGGGGTGCAGGTCAGTGAGAGGCTGGACATGAGCTGGCAATGTGCTTGTAGCCCACAAAGCCAAACCATTATCCTGGGCTGCAGCAAAAGCAGCATGGCCAGCAGGTTGAGGGAGGGGATTCTGCCCCTCTGCTCTCCTGAGACCCCACCTGGAGGGCTACAAAAACACTCAGAGCAGCTCTGCCACAGAGACAGGCTGAGAGAGACAGGATTGCTCAGCCTGGGGAAGAGAAGGCTCTGGGAAGACCTTATTGTAGATTCACACTAGATATAAGGAAGAAATGTTAACCAGAGTGGTGAGCCACTGAAACAGGTTGCCCTGGGAAGCTGTGGATGCTGCATCCTGGCAGTGTTCAAGGCCAGTTTGGATGGGGCTTTGAGCAATCTGGTTTAGTGAAGATGTCCCTGCCCATGGGAGGGGTTGGAAAGAGATGGTCTTTAAAGGTCCCTTCCAACCTGAACCATCCTATGATTCAACGGAAAGTTTCCAGGAGTAAATATTTTGCCCGATAGGTTGGTACCTTTTTGTAGCTGTTTGAGCTCAGCTGTGTACCCAGACTCCCTTTTCTTACAGAACTGTGATAATTTCGAAGGAAGAACTGTTGTTTATTGTCTGCTCACAGAGCTGTAGAGTTGCATTTATATAAATGCAGGTATTTCTCTGGCTCTCAATGCACTGAATGGATACTAATTCTACTTCTGACTGCTTACCATAGCTCTGAGCTAAATAAAAGGGATCACTACCAGGAGGTAGACAAGAGAACTGTGTGAGCTTAAAAGCAGCACCAGCAGCAATCATCTACCTGTATGGAGTCTGGCTCAAACAGAAAAAAAAGGATGAAACAGGGAAAGAGATGAGAAGATAAGGGGAAAGGGAGTGTCAGTCCTTTGGAAGAGGAGGAGAAATGCTGCAGGTGGAGGTAAATAGGGAGAACATTCACTGCAATAGTGTTGATAGTTTAGTTTTCTGGTAAAAACAAATCAAATAGCTACCTTTGTAATACTAATATCGAGTTCCAGGATTTACTGACTTTTAAATATTTTTTCTACAACTGCCAGAAGTCCAGGAAACCTAGTTGGACAGCTGAGAGCTTTTGCCTGCATTGAGGTAAATGTAAGCCTGGAAAAACTGGAGTCTAAAGCAGAGATTACTTTACTGCCCTCAGTCATTAGCATAACTCATCACAGCAACCTTAGCTGCTTCCAAGAGATAGAATTGGAGTTTTGTTTGTTTTAATGAAACATGAGGATGTTAAAAGAAACAGGACAATAGGAAGGCTGGAATGCAATAGTCCAGAAATGAGAGAGCAAGACGAGCCAAATATTAACACTTTGCAATTGGGCACATCACTGCCTGAGGGAGCAAGCCATGCAGGAAAAATGAGCTAAGAAACAGAGGTAAGTGAGAAAGTCAGCAGAGCTTGCAAAACAAATTCACACTGAGTTTATCTGGAGCTGTTGCTGTTTCATGAGGCTCTATTAAAATCCAGCTGAGAGCAGAGGAAACTGAGAACTCTCTCCAAAAACTCAGGGATCAAAGACAGATTTCCAGTGGACAAATACCCAAAGCATGCCAACTGAGTTAATTTGAAAGGTGATTGCTTGTCTTATTCCAGAGAAGTGAATAAATTAATGGACTTTGAGATCCCACTGCCAAAATGCTGCACTGAATAGACTGAGACAACTGTAGAGTCATTTGTGTTGCCATTGACCTTTTTTCAGATTTTATTCTCTGTGCCTATTAATCCACGTTCTTAAAAAAAACTATCACAATATTATGTTCTAAAGATGTTTTGGTTTTTTTGAAAATCATCATTATTTAGCCAGCAAAAAAGCAAGCAATCTATAATTTCCTTCCTTTTTTAGACTTTGCTCAAAGCAGGATTGCTTTTTTATTATTATTGCAGCATTTGATATTACGACTTGCCTTAAGGAATGGATACAAGATCCATCTCCTGGGGTTTCTAGGAAAAGCTTTCAAAATAAATAATAAATAATAACTGTTTGTGAACCAATCAATGGTGAGGAAAAGAAGGATGATGAAAGTACAATACTAAGTTGTGCATCTGCCCTAAATTATTGAAATTAAAGACAAAGATAGTAAAGTATTCAACTTTTTACAGCAATTTGGCTGCACTCATATTTTATCATTTGCTGTAACAGAGGTCAAATTTTCCAGTTGCATAATGTCATGGAGTATAGCAACGGATTACACAAGCAAAAATGTTTAATTGCTATCATGTACACATGAAAATAAAAAATTACACTACTCTTTCATTCAAATCATGAGACTGATTCAAATTTACCAATCATTAGCATTAATTGACTGCAATTCAAATCAAAGAGCAACAGCTGCATCCTGTTTTCTAGGCTTTGGGGAGGGTGATGTTTTTGAAAATAATAAATTTGCATTCACACAGTTCTTATTTTTAAACATCAGAAGGAATCAGTCAAAACTGTGGACCACTGTGCAAGCTGCGCATACCCTGCTTCCTTTTTTTAATAAGTATTGTGGCAGTGGCAATGTTATAAGAGCAGTCACAGAGCAGTGTGGCACAGCGAGATCAGCACATTAGCAGTGACAGGACAGGGCTTCCTTTCAGAAGGAATAATTACAGGTTCACATGAGCTGATAGCCCCAAGTAGGCTGCACAACACAAAGAACTGGGCACAGACTCTAAGGGATGCTAAACCCCAAGAGCTGGCACGCTAATCTCAGGAAAACTTTTGATGAGCAGCACATGTGAAAGCTTAACTTTGAATTCCAGGAAGCTTGACTCAGCCCTTCCTTCTTCCAGGATGGATAAATGGGGAGGTTCATGCAGCTCACCACACAGGTATCTTTGAAGCAGAACATTAAAAACCTGGTGGCTGATCTACCCACAGCAGATATTTCAGATTTTACAGCAATCCCTAAAAGCAGAACTTTACTCAAATATACCTGCAGAAAGAATTTTCCTTCCACCTATGTTGTTGTGCAGAATTTTTCACCCAGTCCATTTCCACGGTGGATGAAATGGTCCCTTAATATACCGAGACTCCAGTAAGAATTACTTCAGGTCACGGTATATTTTTCCCTGATTGGTTTCCTCCAAATGCACTTGGACTACAGTAATGCAGAGGAATACAGGAATCACTGCCAGCTCAGTCCATTGTCTCACTCTCTTCTGACAAAGGTCAGCGCTGAATACTTCAAGAATGATTTTGACAGACAGCTTTTGAGGGCACATTCACCCATAAAAACACATGATTATCTTTCCATCAACAGCCAGTAACATCCTGAAACCCACTGTCTTTCATAACTCTACCTAATTGGAAGACAAACAACATCTGGTTTTTTTTTATTTAATAAATCTAATCTTTATTAAAAATAATAATAATACAAAAACAACCTGCTGCTCTCTTGGTGTCAATGATTTTCAGCGGCAATTAGTTCCACATGCTAATTATGCAGTGCAATATAAGTTTATATGACTTTAACTAGTTTTGCATTTCTTGTCTTGCAATTCTTATAAATAACTTCTTGTATTATAGCAAAAAAAATCTGCTTTACAGTCTTAAAAATAGTGCATATTTGTATGCACCTCTGAAACTCCTTTAGCATTCACAAACTTTTTTTTTTTTACACTTCTCTTAATAAAGAAAGCTTTCCACATCTCAGCCTAACTGTTCTCTAAAATCTTCTCATTCTCTTATCACCTTGCTGAAATATAGGGCAGACAGAAATAAACACAAGAATTCAAGGAGGAAATAATGAGATACAATAGATTTCTGTTTGGTATTTTAACACCTGAATAATGTTTTCACCTCAGGTGTGGAGGAATGGGATATAAACACCCTAAAATTGCTTATGTGAGTGATGCTCATGCACACTGAGTTACACCTGAGGTAACTTTTACCTGGCAGCACAAGATCCCACAGGGGATCCAAATACTAATATTCACCCAGAGCCAGGGTGAATACCTGAGGTGGGAGCCCCTTCTGAGCCCCCTGCCACTGTACACACCCATGCAGGCTGCACTTGCTGCAGAAACTGCAATAATTATTGGCCAAGAAACACTCCTTCCCTACTTATGCATGTGTTTGCCTGACTTGGACACCTTCTACTCATAATGAATGGCTTGCACTAAGCAGAATAAAGAAAACTGTTTACTGAACTGACTCTTAGAATGCCATGGGATCCTCCAACTGGAGAGCACCATTATGAACATGTTCACTGCTTTCTGTTTCAGAACGCTGTATGATTCAGATCATCAATATCTATTTTTTTTCAACAGATGTCCCAGGATAAGACACACCAGTGACAGCACTTTTAAAACTGAACTTGGTTAAAGAGACTAGTAGAAATATTCAAGTACTGCTTTTTTATCTTTTATGGAAAAAATACACATATATGTATTCATCCATATATGTATGTGTAGTAATTTGTAGGACAGGGTTTTATGTTCCTTTATGAAATTTTGACACTTAGGTAAATAACATGATCTCATTAAATAATTTAATGCAGTTTATTTCTGATAAAGGAAGAGTAGAGTCCACTCCACCCCTGCAGCACTGTTCAAAGTTGCTTAAAGAAGTACAGGATCCTGAAGTGGGTGCAGAAATAAGCTCCTAGGTGCAGAACACCCCTCCTCACTCCTGCTACTGGTGCTACGTTCTCCCATGCCACACTCGCTAACCCAATGTAATCTTTACAAAGCATTATCTCAAAACAGAGCACTTTCCCCCTCTCAGGATCTTCTTTTCCAGTTTGTGCCACAGGGCAGCAATGATGCTCAGAAATGCAGTGATGTAAAGCATCTTCCTCAAGGGTCCTGCAGGCACCCAAACATAAATTAGAACTCAGCTGCCTCACAGCAAAGCCAGCAGTCGGTGGCCGCTCACATCATTTACAGTTTCACCACAACCTTCCCCATCCTCACACACCACCAAAAAGTACCCAGAAAACTAGAAATGGTGAGTAACAGCTTCTGCTTGCCCCTGTTCTCCATACCACCTCACCTTGACAGCAAAGCACACAGGCATGTGAGCAAACAACAAGAAGATGCATTTTATATTCCAGAGCACAAAATGAAACAGCTCTGTGACAGCACAAGGCAGTTTTTAACTCTCCTAAATTAGCATCTCAATCAATAAGCAGGGAGCTGCCATGCACTGCAAAATAGAAAAGCAGATTGACAACATGCAACAGAAGCAATCTTAGAAGTTCACAGAAATAGAAGGATATTTCTTAAAAGTGTGGTTTCTCTCACACACCCAGTGCATGCATGCGAGTGATTTTATTTCTTCCCTTCCCCCAGTGCAACTTTAAAGTAAAAACATTAATTAGGGGAAAAAATGAGACTCTCTGATGGATGACAACACTGTAAATTTAGAACAAAGGCTGACAGAAATAACCTATTCCACTTGGCAATTACAGCACTTAACTATGGTGCAGTGTTGCTGCTACAGACACCTGTGAAATCTCAGCGCCGCGAGATGCAATTCCCAGCAGGGAGGACTGCAGATTTAGCAGACTAAGCAAAAGCCTGGTAGCCTGCAACTCCTAAATCTGCATCTGAGTGGGAATTGCTGGGTGGTGCTGGACAAAAATTTACCTTACTTCCAGCTTTCTCATCTACAATCAGTGTGAAGGAAACTGGGGATTACAGCAGGGTTGGTGAAACATTTTGGAGACGTCAGGATTTGCCACAAAACATCAGGTTTGATATTATGGCAAATGATGTTAAACATTATGCTTGTGGATCATAGAAATGTAGAAGGACATTCAAAGTTAAGGGGTTTACAGGATTTTCCCTAGTTTTCTATTTGATGAGCAGTCTCTCTCTGCATTAAATACAGTAAGGGTGCCTTACAGAAAAACGAGCAGTTTTAACATGGTTGCCTGCTGTAATAACCTTTTTTATTATTAATATGAGCTTTGAGGAGAGATTAAATAAAAGAGTCACATATTTGATTTTCTTGCATTACAAGCACCTAGCTCAAATCACCACTCAGGATTTCCAGTATGAGGCAGTTTGTGCTTTGCAGAGATAAGAATTAAAAAAAAAAAAAAAAAAAAAAGAAAAAAAGAAGAGAAAAAAAAAAGGAAACATTTCTGTTAAGTTCTAATTATTTGTCTCCCTGCAAACAACAAATCCACAAATGCCTCTCATTTTCTGAAGCCAACTTCTCCTCCTGACTGCTTGCCTGTTCTTTATCATCCCCTCCTAGACACCTCCGCCCTCCCCCCGACTCCTCTGGAGCAGTATTGACGGTGCACATTGATTCTCTCTGCAGATATAATAGTTCTTTCACTGCTGCTGCTTATAATTATAGCAATGTGTGTCACTCAGTAATAAGACATTCAATTATTCTTGGCCCCGTGAAGTGTAACCCTTCAACTCACGAGACCAAAATTGAGGAGCATCAGCCCCCCCCCCCCCCCCCAAAATTATTTTTTTTTTGTTTTTTTCCTTTTTTTTTTTTTTTTTAACTTTGCCTTGCAATTCCGATCCTCAGTGGCCACTTGAAACTGCAGGAGTTTCACTGCAAGGAACTGGCTGCCAAGCTAACACAATCAGTCCCCTCAGCAAAGAGAAGGAAAAAAAAAAAAAATCTCTTTTCCCCATCAAATACATTTCCATCCCTCTGCATCATAACAGTGCCAGCTAATTTTAAAGAAACAAAGTTGTCCCAGAGTTTGACACGAAATGGGGGGGACAAATTAACAATGACGTAACAGCATTGGCAAGAGAGAATTTTAAAAGCGATATGAACAATCTTTAATCTTTTATCGACAGATTTCCTCTAGGAGACTTCTTTCTGAAAGGCAAAAATCACTGCGCCGTCCCTGCTAAAATCTCTTAAAATAAAAAGAATTAACTGAAGCTTACCTGTACTGGAATGTCATATTTGTAATTTTTATCTTTATTTCCTCTCCGTGGCGAATTTCTCCAGTCATTTCAAAGAGTTTGTTAGCCATTTTCTCATAAACTTTGGCATTCCTTTTAGTTTGTTTCAGCTCATCAAAAAATTCTTCCCAAACCAGCATTAAACCTCTCATTTCTGCATCAGTCCAGTTTCTGGCCCTCCTGTGTTTCTCAGTCTGAGAAGAGACAATGTAACTGGGAATTTCTGCTGCAGCCATTGCTGACTGACCTAAAAGGGTTTTAAAAGAGGACACTTAATATAGATTGAGTTTTTAGTTTAGGTTTTTTGTAGTGCAAGACATGCATATGTGGATAAAGAATTTGAATGACAACAGAACATATGAAACCTTTTTGCAACAGCTTGAAGCTTGAGTGCACAAAATGGGGCCTACATCTGACAGGCAGGAATTTAGTTAAAAGCTTTTAAACAGAGAAACGTCATTTTGATGTCACGTTTCCATAGCAACAGAGCAACTGCATAAGCTACAACAACAAAAACCTTTTAACTGAAAGCCAAAGAATCAGGACAAAGTTGACAGGCCATCAATATTAAAGCTTTTAAACACTTTAGGTTTAACAAAAAAAAAAGATCTATGCAGCCTTTGAGAAGCTACTTTTAAGTTTCTACTTCTTTTTTAGCTTTCCCTTACCTTTTAGGCAGACAATCTGCTAGCAGGGGGTCATGGTCGCCTGAACGAGCTTTTAAGTTGTGCCTTGACAGACTCTCTAGGAGGTTGCAAGGACTGAGGCCATGTACACAAAAAAAAAAAAAAAAAAAAAAAAAAAAAAAACAAAAAAAAAAAGCTTTTTTTTGCAAAGATATTCTGCAAAAAGAATCAGCCAGCTTTATGAAAACTATACATCTCTAAGCTAATAAATGTTTAAGCAGGCAGGCTCATTAAAAAGGAGCCTGCATCTGGGCTTTAGAACATGCAAAAAATAGTATTTAAGTGTTTATATAGAGAGAAATATGTACAAAATTTCAATATAAAGCCACTTTTTTTTTTTTTTTCCCTGAGATGTTTTGCTGCTGATAAGCACACACTGCAGTCCTGTCAGTATGAATTTGCCTTTGTAGGTATGTATTACTGTATGTGTATTTTGTATTCCTAGTAATTTAGATGCTATTTATGCAGCCTGTGTTCTGCCTTAGGACTGCAGCAGAAGCATTTCACCTGCTTTATGGGCAACCTAAAAGGATTATTCAACGAGTTAAAAAAAGGCTGTGAGATGCTTAGAACTGTGAATAAATTGCTTTGCTGTAAAACAAGCATTTTGAGCTGGTTTTTATATAGGGCTAAATTGTGCCAGCAGTTATATCAGAGAAGCAGGGCATATTCATTGTATTAAACACTGCAATGCAAGCAGTGGGCCAAATCCTGCCCCACTTGCACTCCTGCAGTCTGACAATAATCTTCCACAAAAGACTGAGATGCAGGAACTGCATTAATTCCAGCTTACGACCAGCTAAATAGAGAGATGTTCATTTCCTACAGTCCCAATAGAATTGCGTTATGTAAAATACAAATAAATAATCCACGGACCTTTCTTATTATTATTTTTGTGTTTCAGCATGGAACAGCAGTAACGACCTGACTGCAGGGCATTTCCTGAAGATTAATGGCAGGCAGGGGTTAATGGCCTGAGGCTCACCCAGTCAGTCGTTAATCCCCAGGAAATGTTCCCTGCCTCAATCCTTAATGCTTAAGTATCCTATAAATTGTAAGTCTTCTCATAACCACATCCTTGATCTTAACAATAGTTAAAAAATGCAGAGCTTGGTTTGCATCCTGGAGATGGCAAAGAGAGCACATAATGTTCCTGAAAGGTACACCAGTGACATTTGTGGGACCACTGCCTTCTTTCTATTTTATTTATTCTACTGCATATTACAAAAGGCACAACAGCATACCACAGAACAAGGTGGGGGTATGAGGGGGTAGAATTACATGTACTTTACATAGGAACTTCCACTGATCCAACCCTGAACATGTCTCTGTCAGAAATATACCTGCTGAGTCACTGCCTCCCTAAGGGAAAAAATAAAAAGGAGAGAAATAAAGAAAAAATCCCCTAGCTTCCAAATAACTGCTTTTAACTACTAATATGACAGCCTAGCAACTATTACCTTTAAAAATGTGTAAATAGCAGCATATGTTGTGATGATGATCTTGCATGGTTTGTCTCTTGGGTGGCCAGCTGGGAGACGTCACATGATCAGGGGACAGATGGTGGTCAGAAGAGGATCAGCTGATGACACATTCATTTTATTAATTTATTGTTTTGTTTTGAAATTCCCGTCACTTAACCTTGGGCTTCAGGCAGCTCTTTCCATAAAACCGTACCAGCCTCGGCTGCCTGTGGTCACAGCCACTGCCTGGGCATCACCAGGACAAGTTTAAGGAAGGAGCGCAGAGTCCAGAAGGAAAAACCATGGCTCTGGGTCTGACTTGGAGCTAACACACACTGCTGTAAAGCCAGGCTTGCTTTTCAACCTTTAATCATCCATTAGAGGTTTGTTTTTCTCCCTCAGACTTTAAACCACCTCTGTTGTGAAAATGCCGATTAACACCGCTGAAACCCATAGCATGATACACACAACTTGTCAAACCCAAAAGATATGTGTGGTCTCTGCTTTAAGGATATTTTTAATCCAGTTTCAAGTACAACAACGCGGACAGGGTGGGTGAAAACCTTTCCAGATGCACCAAGTTTTTTCTGTCTTAGTCCACAGTTTTCCTTCCCCGCTCCATCCACATGTGCCTGGCATATGTGCAGCTGCTCCTTGGGCTCCGTGCTGGCCCCCAGACCCCAGGATCCTGCAGAAGGGGGGCGATTGCTTCCCTGTGAAATTCACATCTCAACTTTTCTATATGCTGTTTTCTATTAGTGTACTTGACAGACTGATATAGCGGTATAGTGCTATTGAACATCTGTTAAATAAAAGAAATGCTTTCTAATAATACCTCCCTTATTCCCCTCTTCTCAGCACCTGAAGGGGATCTGAGTTTCAAGGACTCAGGTTTTACCCTCTCCTCTGAAAAAGTCGTTGATAATAATTATGGAGACTCCACATTGCCTCCTCTGCCTCGCCAAAGCCCATGTGCCAAGTGGTTGACAAAGTGACTGTTTTCCTACATGGGTCTGAAAGCGAGAGAAGTTTTTTTATCCCCAAATAATTCCTGCAGTCTTCGCCAGAGACAGGGGAGGGAAAATACACCTCTCCAGGCTGACTCTGCTGGTGTTCTGCAGATATGTGCAGTCCCAATGCATCACTAAGCCTTTGTCCTGGTCCCTGAGTTGGGACAAACAGCTAAGACAGGAGCAGCAAATCTTTTAGGGGAAGAGCAGCTCTGTGTCAGCAAGAGCAGTCCCTGTCCATGATGAGGGCACTGGGAGGAGAAGCTCTATTAGAATTCGGCTGCTTCTTGCCCCTCTCCAGTTAGAGGCCAGTCGAGATTTGTCATCTACCTCAAAGACTGGCTGGTCACGAACCCAGAATAACTGCTGACATGGCAAGCTGCAGCTCTGCCAGGCTGAAGGCACTGACATCCCTCCTGCTCTCCCCTCTAACACCTGATGGCAGAGTCCCCCAGCACCAGCTTCCTCCACATCGAGGACCAGCCTGGCACCAAGCACCACGCAAGCAACTGCAGCTGCAACTGTTCTCATCAATTAAATAAGGATATTAAAGTCTTGGAAACCACTGACATACAAAACTGAGCTATTGAGTACACCTTTGTACATTATTTCCCTCTGTAGGGGAAAGCTCTTCTCCTTCACTCTCCTGCTCACCCAGGTCCCTCCTCTGATGGGCAGTGACAAGTTCATAAGATATTCTTGTGAACACCTCACTGTGCTGGAGTATCTCACTTGTGCCTTTCCTTTCAATGCACACCAGCTCAGAGGAACATGAATTTAATGATCCTCTTGCAAATCTGTTCTTCATATCATCTGCCTAAACACCCTACCTTTTTTGCAATCATTATATATATCAGCTTGAATAATAGCTCTCACAGCTGTTCCACCTTTCATGGTGATCTCTAAAGATAACAAACCTCAAACAGGGTAGAAGGGTTTATAATTTGCAGCTGTGGATCTAATGAAGTTCCCCTATAAATGCTGCTCTCACAGAGTTTAGACAACTCCATTAATCCTTACATATCTGTTGACTAAACCTCAGGTGATCTGTGCTAACTGACTCTGTATACAGCCTTCAGCTTTGCAAGGGTGGGCTAATGCATGCCAAATAAAACTTCCTTCAGCCAAGTTTTAGGGAATGGTGTTTTCCCCTGTGCCTGCAGGGCAATAACGGCTCCAGTCACTCAAACACCAGAGCCCAGCCCACAAACTGAGCCATTACACCGGGATTACAGCAGAGCATGTCCAGTCCTGCTCATGGGGACTGTGGTAGAAATCAGGCAGAAACCTCTGTGCAAATCAGAATTTATTTATTTATTTATTTATAAAACACAAGAGATTTCTCCAACTTCTCCTAAATGTACTTCTGTGTCTGAAATCCCCATGGGAGCTGTCTACAGGGATGCTGACACACAGGTCACTGCCTATAGGGATTTTTAGAAATGGAAGAACACTAGCTTTGGTTCAGGAGACTCTTGATGCCAATTGGCAGCAAACACCAGTGACACCAGGAGGAGGAGTTTCCTGCTGAAGGAGCGTCACCCCTCAAAGACACAGATCCAACTCTACAACACATGGGTACCTCAGTAGACTATTTATAATGTCTTAATTACATAAAAATACTGAAAAACAAATAAAACCCACCAATCATCCAAAGCTGCTTTCACACTTTGTGTTTGGGGCAAGCTGTTAAAAGCAAGGTTGTCCAAAGCACAGGCTGGTCACTGCTCTTTGCAATCCTCTGGTCTGGCCCACCAGGAGCTTAACACTTGTGGGTAATAACAAATCTTGGAACTGGATAGTGACTGCAGAGCACGTGTTCAGTCTCTGGGAATTTCAGTGTAGACACACCTTCATAATTCTGCTTAAAAGGGTGCAGGACTGTGTACATATTTGACTAAAAGCATTTGGAGTTTGCATTGCAGAGGGATACTATTTGTAAGCTCAAAAAGGCTGCATGTGTTGGGAGGCTGCCTCCTGCCCCACATTTTGCTATCCACTGGGCTAGAAGGCCCACTTTCTAAAGTCTTATAAAGAATTATGGGGTTTGCATCTCTGACTGCTGCCTACTGCAATTTGCAAAGATGATTAAATGCAATGCCAGTACAGACAGGCTGGGGAATGAGACAGTGGAGAGCAGCAACTGTGAAAAAGGATCTGGGAGTCCTGGTCAATGACAAAAGCTGAATGTGAGTCAGCAGTGCCCTGGCAGACAGGAGGGACATCCCTG